ATAAAATTGTATTTTGAATTAGGAGTTCAACAAAAATTCTATTTTAAAAAATAATGATGGAAAAAAGTCAAATTGGATGCACCCTGTTGAAAAGCAGGCCAATTCATTGAGTTTTTCTGTTCCTTGTAGATATTGAATCATATCGACTAAATTCTGATATACAGGGTGTTGTTTTTGAAAAAGAAGAAGTTGTCTGTTTTTCCTGAAGACGGATATAGATTCTAAATCCGCTTCCTAGCTATTCAGTTTTGATGAGTAATATTAGTTGAATATATCTATCGAGTATGAATCGATTATACACCATGGTTCAAAAGTTACGAGCTGAAGATTTTCTGTATCACAGTTATGAAAGATGGTAGTCACATGGATGTATGTACATTTAAATCTGAAACACCCTGTTTAGCCAAAAAATATGTTTGCATGAGATAATCTCGAATCTCGTCTTTTCTGGTTTGCTCTTTTCACATTATATCTTCTGAAAAATATAGTTCTGAACGGAAAGCACGAAAATCAAAAGGCAAATATTCAACGAACGGACCTATCTTATTTTTAAAACATATAAAGTAATTGAGTTAAATATAAATAGGGAAATATGAGGAGAATTTGAGAGAATCTCTATTCACTCACCAGCGTGAAAAATGTGAAGATTTGATGAAACAACACCACCAGCACACGATCGCGATAATGTAATTACTGAATTGAATGAGGAACACAAAAACACAATACTTGCACTCATTTTCAAGTGAACACTCCGTTTGGAATGATAAATAATTCCTTATTTCGCGTATTTTTCAACTGCGATCACAAAATTCGTCCGTACGTGATGACATCTAATATAAGACTGTCTTGATTCTCCACCTGGTCTCGAATGAATGACTAATAGGTTGAATCATGCTGCTAACCGATTAATCTCTGAACAAATGATTCATCTATGACTAATAACGATAATGAAATCATACGGGGGGAACAGATATAGAGTATACAAGATATAACATGAAGAATTGAACACGGATATACTGGCACTATTATTTTCGAAAGTCTAACGATTTGGAAAAATTGAACACAAGCTGAAAATATAATTTTTACAAGAATCTCTAGTGATTTGAGAGAATTAAACAGTCAGGAGTACCGAAAAAATCTAGCGAATTTCTCGAAAAGTGTAAAATGCACAAGGAGACGTACAGGGTGTTTCAGATTTGAATGAACATTTTGGTTTAGACTGCCAGGCTTCTCTACGAAGTTATCAGAAATAAGGTTGTGCTGAGTTACTACGTGTCCAACAGAGAATTTCGAGAAGAATCCAGTGGCGTACTCATTTTTTTAGGGGTTATGACTTTGGAGATACGACATGTATTTTATTATTAAGTTGAAGCCGTTATTTGTTTCCATTCAAAATGACGCATAAAACTTGGGATTTCCACAAATCCTAAAAAGCACTAAAACATCAGACCGAGCATCAGACTATGATGAATTTTTGCTAGTGGGCCATGGATTTTCCAAGTTTTACTTTAACGATTATTATTCATGAAAATATGCATGCTCATGTTTTAGAATATGCTCTCTTTATTTAAAATATGTTCAGCAATGCATTTTTGCCGCTTCTATCATAAAGTAGCAAAAACTGTGTTATTCCTAATAGAATACCCTGTATTTTATTGTATTCTTAGATTCTCCCTGAAGATCTGATTTCATCGATACATCACACTTGGTAACATCGGAAATGATTACACCCTATATTATAGGGCTCGTTATAGGGTGTTCAAAATCGAGATTTTTCAACTTTTGGATTTGTTTGTGTCGAAACTATTAATCATCGGTCGAAACGGCTCACATGGCCCTAATTATTTTTGATAGACCCCGATTGTGATATATGATGAAATCAGCTCATCAGGGAGAATCTAAAAATGCGATGAAATGCAGAGTATTCCATTTGAAATATCAATTTCGCTAGTACTTTCTAGTAGAAGCATGCACATTTACATGAATTTCTTCCGACTGATTTTCTATGTAAAGATGGTGTAAGCTCGTCGTGACATACCCTGTATATTATATTGACTATAAAAGATGGAAGACACATCGATAGGGAGTGATTGGAATCACCAAAGTTTCCTCTATCTACAGATATATTATGTACATTCAAATCTGAAACACTACCCTTTATAGAGGAAAAGTATTTTTCCACTAAAAAATGTTGAATCGTCTAATTTTCTTCTGGTTTGCTCGTTTCGAATTATTTTCTTGAAAGTATTCAACGAACAGACGTTTCCGAGGACGTTTCTTATTTTGAAAACATATAAGGTAATTGAGTTGAATATAAACAGGAAAATATGAGGAAAGACAGAGAATCTCTATTCACCCACCAGCGTGAAAAATGAGAAGCTTTGATGAAACAACACGAAACACTAGAACAGCACACGATCGCGATAATGTAATTACTGCATTGAATGAGGGATACAAAAACACTACACTTGCACTCATTCCTTTCGCGTATTTTTCAACTGCGATCACAAAATTCGAATGTACGTGATGACATCTAATAGACAGTCTTGATTCACCACCTGGTCTCGAATGAATGACTAATAGGTTAAATCATGCTGATGAAATTATATGGGGGGAAGAGATAGATATAGTTTACAAAATATAATATGAAGCATTAAACACGGATATACTGGCACTGTTATATTCGAAAGTCAAACGATTTGAAAAAATCAAACAGGCTCAAAATATAATTTTGGCAAAATCTTCATATGGTCTTTATATTTTAACCGTTGTGCATAACTCGAAGCATAACTGCATAAACAAATTTGTGTTATCATTATTTTTCAAAATAGTGAAAATGTAACGAGCACTCGAAAATATCTAATGAACAATTATTCCATGGAATGAAAACTATCGATAGTTTACTTAATTTGACTCTAATGAAGTTGAACTCTGAGGACTGATTACTTTTTTGTGATAAAATTGGATTTTGAATTAGGAGTTCTACAAAAATTCTATTAGAAAAAATATTGATGAAAAAAAAGTCAAATTGAATGCACACTGTTGAAAAGTAGTCTAATTCATCAAGTTTTTTTGCTCTTTGCAGATATTAAATCATATACCTATCTACAAAATTCTGATATACATCAGAGTGTTGTTTTTGAAAAAGAAGAAGTTTTCTGTTTTTCCTGAAGACGCGGATCTAGATTCTGAATTCGATTCATATTCAGTTTTGATGAGTAATATTAGTTGAAGATACTTATCAATAAGTATGAATCGATTATACACCATGCATGGTTCAAAAGTTATTACCTGACCACCTGACCAGATGAAGATTTTGCCAAAATCAAGATTACGTTCTGTATCACAGTTATAATGATTCCTTCATTTTTTGTATCATTACCGCTGGAAGATGCCTAGAGACAAATATCTCAGTTACCGCCATCATAGATTAACGAATCTATGCCGCCATTGTATTTGCGATAAAAAATAGCACGTCGCCCCACCTGACGGCAACAACGTAAACACTGAGATGTTGTAAACACTTCGAAGCGGTTTGTTTGGATTGAGATGCGTTTGGATGATATGATCAATGATCACAAGCAAAAACAAATGTGAACCAATAGAAACAAAGTAAACATGCCGCTTTGACAGCTTTCAAGAACTCCGATAGGTGGCTAACGCTTATTTTCTATCGCGAATTGAACTGAAACTCGTATTTTGTTCAGAAATCAGAACGAAGCCATTACACATTTCATAATCCTGTTTCAAAATACTCGTGTACAAGTCGTGTGTCAATTAATTATAATATTGAGTTTATTGCCTGTACTTACCAACCGCTAACCACTTTTTATTTTTGTCATCTGTTAACACTGTCATCATGTGGTACGAATTAATTCAATCTGACCTGAAAAGCTAGAATGAAAATGAAGCAATCTCTCAACAAATAATTTGTGTGGTGAAGATTCTTTTTTTTTTTAGGTGATTAGTAACCGAAAAAAAATCTGTGAAGGCATCCAATGTTGATGGGGTCGATAGTTTCGGAATATCATTATGTTAATGATCACATTGATATATGATATTTTTTCCATGATCGGCCGTGAGAGAATCTCTCGGAGACGCACGAATTATTTTGTTGCGCGTTGCGTGTTCCGTTCACTCTTTAATATCTTTGCGTCCTGTCTCTAGAGTCTACAGCCTAGATTGAGGCCTAGATGCTTCATTTCGGGTCAGATTGAATTCGTACCATTAGTTGTGTTCACTGCTCTACCACCAAAAAGTTCATTTTTCTTTGACTTTTGTTGTGTCAAAGATGTTGTGTCTTGTGTCATTAATACATTTTCATTCAGAGTTGCCAGACCTAGTACTTTCGTACTAGATGTACTACCTTCTCACTCTATCTAGTACTCTAGTACGCCGATCGCAAAATTCGTACTTTTCCACACATAAAATATCGAAATATCAACATTACATGAATTATCCAAAAAAATATTTAATGCGTGATATCATCAGTGAAATCTCATTATTGTCTCACAAATCCAAACAAAGTTCCGAGTTTGTGCTTACCCTAGTCATTGTCATTTGTCAATTGCTTTCACGTTGCCTAAAGTTATGATTATGAATAAAAATGAATGACGATTGACTGTTTTGGAGTATTTTGACTCATGAGAAATGAGATATTCACAATATTCAGTGAATAAGTTTTCATTCTTGTTTTTTCTTCCCCCCCCCCTTATCCTGACCCAATAGTGGGAAGTTTGAATGAAAATCACATGAAAATCCAAACTAGTACTTTTCTCGAAAAACTAGTACTTTTTTCGATGATTGTGGATTGTGGATTGTTTAGTACATTTTGAGTGGCTGGGCTGGCAACGCTGTGTTCATTTCTACCGCTCAAAATTTTGTGAAGTGTAGAGTAGATGAAAAGTGATGAAATCATAATTTTAGTGGCAAATTTTCAAAATACTGTAAGTTAATAGTCTTCATCAATTGTTTAAATTGGTACAAACTCGGATTGGACAATGTCCAAGAAAGAAGACGCGATGGACACCAGCGGAGCACCATCAGAACCTGCTGAAACCGGTGAAAATACGGTAAGGGTAAGAATCTCTTGTTTCTACATTATATTATTAATATCATCATTGTCAACTGTTGTTTCTTTTGAAGGCAAATTTACATAAGTACTTGTATTGGGAGGAAACTCAAAGGAGGACCTGATCAACTACCCGAATACACACCCCTTCTTCAATCATGTTTGGTACATTTCATGTACAAATCAGCCAGAATGAATGAAGTCAATTCATAGATCTTTGTTCTGGAATATTCATTCCTCCAGTTGTTTTGTAGGGAAAGGGTTTAGGTCCCTTATAGGGGCTTCAATAAACTAGCCTAGTTGATATGGGACCATAAACGTCTTGGCCACTCAAAAGGCTCCCCAATCAAGTTTAGGGAAGAATTAAGTTTGGGCCTAGTCTTCATCTCCTCCTTTTTAAGCATTTTGGTGAATTTCATCCACAAATCATTCATAATAATGGGAATTCAATCATAGATATTCAATCTGAAATGTCAATTCAGGAAGGACCTATACATTGTTCATACTTTGAAGAGTGTTTGTCTTCAACTCACCCTAATGTTGATCCTAATGTACATAGTTCATTGAAATATATACACACACTTGTTTAGAAATGTTTTAGGTCCCCTTCCCCCCAATGCTTGGGTCCCACCAATGGGGCCCTCAATCAGCTATAATGATAAGTTTATTGTAGATTGGTTATTGAAAAGTGAATAGGTACATGTACTTGTTAAGAGATGCTATACGTGTGGGCCCTTTTTTTTTCAAACTGGTTCCTGCAGAAGTCTACTGGTGATAAAACAAATACAGAAAATTGTTATGGCATGATGTAAATTTATGATCTCTGTAGAGGTCCCCAATCAACTAGCCTAGTTGTTTGGGATGATATTGCTTTGAGTCCCACCAAGGTGGCCACCAATCAACTAGACTAGTTCTTTAGGGAGGATAAAGATATGGACCCATTAAAAGGGCATACAAACAAGGCCCCTTCATACTCAAATCATTTATAATAATTAGATTTTGGTCATGAATCTTCAATCTGAAGTATCCATTCAAATTCTTTCATTGATCTCCAATACAAAATATCCTTTCAAACAGGACCTACAAATTTCTCATCCACTAGTTCTTAGCAAGGTTGAGTCATTTCTTCAAACTGTCCTTTCTAAATCAATATGTCATTAAAAAACGTTAAAAAATTAATAAACCCCAAATTAACTAGAGCAATATGTTTGGGCCCCCCAATGGGACCCTTTTATCAGATATACTTCACTTTGGCCATCATCCAGGGTCTTTTAGCCAATGTTGTTTCCTAATATACAATTTTGTAGTGAAATATTTTTTTCAGAATATACAGGGTTATCCAAGTTATGTGTAATTTTATTGTTATTGAAGATACCAAACTGTTTTTTTGAATTACCAAGAAGAACAGTTTTTTGACATGATGAAAATTCTTATGAGCTTCACTAATCTTGCAGTTCTTACAGAAAAAAAAAATAGACAAAGGGTTGCATGAGCAAACTCTTGAAACTATGAGAGGTGATTTAGATAAGGACAATATCAGAGCACATCACTTATTCCCAAAAATTATAAATACCTGTCAAGAATTGTGGGTATTGTATTTTCTGTTTGTTTGTAATTGTATTTGCTTAGCAATTGCTTTTGTATTGCCAATTTGTGTTTTAGGAATTGGGACAGAATGAATCTTCCTCTGATACAACTTCAAGGGGTGATGATTTTGATACCAAAGTTGCCTCTGACAGAGGGAAGAGATTCGACTTTTTACTCAAACAGACAGAGATATTCTCCCATTTCATGAACCAAATGAAAACTCCTACCAAGGCAAAAACAGGGCGTCCCAAAAAGGATAAAGCAGAAGTGGCAGAGTAAGTGACAACAAGAAAATACCCTAATAAAATGTTGAATCTAATTTGTTGTGTCATTCAGTTAACTATTTGGCCATAGAACTTGAAAATATTTCCTTCCATCAATTAGAATTTAATCAAACCATTTTTTTGGACTGCAAAATATCAAGTTATATTATTTTGATGTCTTTGACATAATGTCAAAATGCTTGGGTGAGTTCAAAAACAATAAAAAAAACTACTATCAATGGTTTATAATCTGTGACATGTGAGTCCTAGATAGATTTGGATTTTCAAAATTGCAGTTGCAGATTTATCTGTCAGTTCTATAGGATTCAATTGAAGGAATCATATCATTGAAGATGATGAAAAGTATGGACCTATTTTGTAATTATTGCAAAGGTTTATCATTCCTTTGAGTTTGAATTATTAGATATAGCTGAAAGTGCATACAGTTAACTTTATATCATTTCCAGAATCCTTGGTTTTTTGCATACCCAATTTTGAAAGAACAATCCATTGCAAACATATGCTAGATGGTATCATACTTTTTACTCTGAATACATTCCTAAAACTCTCCCAATTGAACGTTATAGAAATATCAGAATTGCTCTATCCATTGCAAATGAGATATGCAAGGTGAAATCATAGATTTTGCTTGATTGATTGTCTTTATTACCCAAAGAAATATATCTGTTTAAAAATAGAATAATCTTATTTTTTCCAGAAATTTAAAATGGTATTGATGATGATACCATATATTCAGGAAATGTTTTAGAAATTTAAAACATGTTCTCTAATAATTCAGGAATCTTAATATTGTTTTATATATTTCAAGAATATATTCAATTGATGTGAAATGTTCAAGGAACACCTAGACTTTATAAATCTCAGAAGTGTTCTTCAATATTCTAATAATTCCAAGAATGTTCTTGAATTCTCTCTAATGCTGCAGGTAGTTTGGAAATGACTCCAAATCCTAGTCCACTTTTGATAGTGCATTTTTATGAGGAGAACTATTTCAATTTTTTCATCATTTGAACCCTGGGGACAATCATTTCAACAGTCAGTATTCTTACCTTTCAAAGAATCAATCAAAACTTTCTTCTTGATGTAGTGTCACAACTCATCAGACCAAACAAAGGATTTATGTATAACTACAAATATCAAAGATCAATAGAACTGAATCAATGTTAAATTACTACATACAATGAAGTTTCAAAATCTGAAAACATGCTTTATTGAAAAAAGTTACTGCAATAAAAGTTAAAATGTCTTTCATTAGAACAAAAATAAGCTATTTTGAATTCTAACAATTTAAAAAGATGAAATGCAGAGAATTATTCTAGAATATTTTTGTATACTATGTTGTAAATTTTTCAGTCCAGTACATATTCTAATAATTTATATCTATGGTACTATGAATAGTTTCATGTCTGATTGTTGGCATGGCATGAAATTATGATAGGTGAGTGGACTAATTTGTTTTTATTTCTTGAATAGAATCATCACTCAAATACCTTTCAATTTCATATTTTTCAAGAATTTTTCGGTCGATTTTAAGGTGCTAAAATCATCAATAATGCCATGGTAATTTTCAAACGGTTAGAAATATGGCATTTTTCTTTGAATATCAGAAATAACACCTATTGGAAAACCCTTTAGATTCGTTAAAATCGAATATTGTCTCATGAAACTTGGTACATATCTATTCCAGAGGACGCCGATTCCAGTGGTGTGCGCGGTTCTTGTCTTCGCCAATATGGATTCAACATTTTTCAGCCTTTGAATGTGATCGAGTAGGCCTTGGTTTTTTGAAAAAAGTGGACCCTGCTTAGCTCCAGAATACTGGTGTGTTTTTAAGTAGAGGGAGGAATGGTTACTCCCTCTACATTTAAAAAAAAATCGTTAAAATCGGTCCATGAAATAAAAAATCATGAGAGTGGCCCGCTTTCAAATGGGTCACTCTGTATTTGTTCGTACGCCACTGGATGCCTTCGTTATACATGTATCTCACATTTTATATATCATTCAATAGAAAAAACTGCAAAATTTTCGATTCTTTGGGCTGTATAATAGTTATAAGGGAAAACGTGACAGCATAGAGTTCTCTACTCTCATATTTTTTATTGTGGGAGGTGACATCAGAATTTTTGATCCATCAAAAAATATGAAAATAATATTTATATTATACTCTAAGTAACAAATTGATTTTGAATTCCTCTAAGACAGTAATAGTGGACTTTTACAACAGAAAGAATAATATGCCGCCTGATCTACAAATTATCCATGATATCAAATTGAGCAGTGAGGTAACATTTTTGGGAACTCTCCTAGATCAAAGACTGAACTGGAATATGCAGATAAATAGTGTCTGCAATCAATTGAACAAAGCATTCTTTGCTATGAAACAAATGAAATTTTGTTTAGATATATCACATCTACTGAATATTTACTTTATATCACATCTACTGAATATTTACTTTATATCACATCTACTGAATATTTACTTTGCCATGCCATAATTTGATTGAAGAATCAAACAACAAGCAGACTAAGGAAATACGTGAGAGCCTAAAAGCTGAAGTTGATTACCTCAAACAAATTATTTCTGCAGAAGTGGAAAAAAGGGTAGCTATTGAAGAAAAATACCAGGAGTTGGCCGTAAAATATGAGCAACTAGAAAAATCTCAGAGAAAAAATAATATCGTTATATTTGGCCTCGATTTTTCCGAGGATAAAAATACTGTTGACACAAGTTTCGATAAAAAAAGGAAATTACTCAATTTCACTATTGAGAAATTGAATCAATCATTAGGAATAAACCTCTCAGCTTCTGATATAAATGATATCTTCACAATTGGAAAACAAGATAAAGATCGTCCAATTATCTTGAAATTCTGCTCATTCTATAAGAAACAGGAAGTATTGAGTAATTGCAAGAAACTCAAGGGTACCAATATTCGTATTTCTATAGAACTGAATTATCAAGAAAGGCTGAAGAATAGAGAATGGACCAATCTACTGATTAAGGCGAGGACTAAGTACACAAAAGTATATATTAGAAGAGGAAAATTTTTTGTGGATGAAGAAGAATATTCGTTTGAGGACCTCAAACAACTTTTGGGAGTGGAATCAGAAGAACATGTTGAGGCCACAGGGAGTAAAGTAAATACAAGAGGGACTGAAAATGGTGATTTAGAAGAAATAGAACTCGAACAAGATGAAACCAACTTGGAGAAGACTATAGTTGGAGTAGATGAGTATCATAAATCGGACGATTCTTTTGAAACGATTGAGGATAGTACGGAAGACAACAAGAAAAGAAAGACTTCAACGAAAAAAAAAAGTTCATCAAGGATTGCAAGCAAAAAACCAAAAAACATTCACAATTGAGAATAAGAGTTACCTGGCTCGGCAACTCTCAATATTACTTTACCTCATTTCACTTGACTTTTAGTTTTTAGTATGTGTGATAGTACAGTCAGTTTATAGCTACTCGATTTTGCATCACCTAAAAAATATTATTTGTCACATCTTGTTACACTTATAATATAAAAGAATCATGGTCTGAACATATTATTATATTTGAATAATTTCACTTGTGTCACCATGTATAATGTAAAAATTGCTAATATCAATGTTCGTTGGATATTCACAGGATTTGCAGAATTCAAACAATTAGTATTTGAAAACAATTTTGACATAATCTGTGTTACCGAAACATGGTTAGCACCAGGTATTCAAACAAATATGATTGCTTTGCAGGGGTACAATTTTCTGAGATATGACAGGATCAGCCGTGGTGGTGGTGTAGGAATTTATTTACGTGAATCGATTAATTATGTCACCTTGAACTTAGATATTGATTTAGGAGTCATCTCAGAACAATTATGGTTGAAACTACGCTTACTAAACAGAAATGTAGCTCTAGGAGTAGTGTATAGACCACCTAACTCTAACGTGCAGGGTTTTGTTGATCAAATGGATTCAATTTTATCGTCTGTATATCCCACTGTGGAGGAAGTAATATGCGCTGGTGACATGAATATAAATCTGTTTAATGTTAATAATCCACTTTCTCGGTGTTTCGATGCTTATGGTTTCTTTCAAATGATAACTGAAGCAACTAGAATCACGCAAACCTCGTGTACATTATTAGATCCAATTTTCGTCAGCAAGAAAAATCTAGTTGTTGATAAGGGTGTGCTTGATGCTAGCTTGATTTCCGATCATCAGTTAGTATATTGTGAACTGAAAATTCATATTCAAACGGTTGAACCAAAATTAGTAACTTTCCGAGACTACAAAAAATTCGATTTTCAATTATTTCAGTCGGACTTGCAACAACTACCATGGGATGATATAGTATTGGAGACAATCATAGATAGGAAAGTCGAAATTTTTACCCGGTACCTTCTATCGTTATTTGATAGGCATGCCCCTGTACGCAGGGTTAGAGTAACCAGGCCTAAGATGCCTTGGTATACTGACAACATACGAACTTTAGTAAAAGAAAGAGATTCTGCTTTAAAGAAATACAAAAAGTCACACAGAACAGAAGATTGGGAAAATTATAAGCGCTTACGAAATTACGTTGTTGTCTCGATCAGAAATGAGAAAAAGGCTTATATCAATTTCATATCAAATAATTCAGATGCCCGTAGTACTTGGAATGCATTGAGTAATCTTAGTGTGAAAAACAAAAAATCTTATAATATACCCGATAGCTTGTGTAATGTGAATGAAATTAATTCTTACTTCTCATCGAATAATTCTCCCAATGATTCAGACTGCCAACAAACAGCAACATACTATGATACACACAAAAATGATCAAAGCACAGAATTCTCATTTGTTCTGACATCTGTACAAGAAGTAAGGGAAATGATTATAGATCTGAAGTCAAAAGCATATGGGTTAGATAATGTAAATAGTGTTATGCTTAAATATTGTACCCCTTTCCTAGACAAATATATTGTACATATTATTAATAGTTGCATCTTGAGCAATTATTTTCCATCTAATTGGAAAGAAGCGGTAGTTAATCCGCTTCCGAAAGTAGCAAGTCCCAGTACCATTTCAGATCTCCGGCCAGTTAGTATATTATCAGTCCTGTCTAAAATAATGGAGAAAATAATGCATAAGCAAATAGCTACTTATTTAGATGATAATAACATATTGCCTTTCAATCAGTCAGGTTTTCGGAAAGCTCATGGTACTGTGTCAGCACTTGCTGATGTAATGAACAAAATAATAAAAATTTGGGATGAAAAAAAAATTGCTGCGCTTCTGCTTTTGGATTACTCAAAGGCGTTTGACACCTTGAATCATAATGTGCTCTTAAGTAAACTAAAATTTTATGGCTTTTCAGGTGAAGCATTAAAATTATTAGAAAATTATCTAACCAACCGTTCTCAAAAAGTTTTTATCAATAACATAATATCTGATCAAATTACCTTGAGGGCTGGTGTTCCGCAAGGATCTGTATTGGGGCCGCTATTATTTATTCTGTATACTTCAGATATTGTCAAATCATTCGAGAACTGTGACTGTCACTCATATGCTGATGACACTCAATTGATATACTCATTAGACTGTGAAAATCCTATTGAAATGGAAAATAAAATTAATCTTGATCTTCAAAATCTGAACGATTTATCTGTTGGTCATAATCTCAAACTCAATCCGGCAAAATCAGTCATTCTTCTTATCGGAAATAATAAGAAAGTATCAGAAGTAAAACATAACATACACATACACATTAACAATAGGATGATTCCCATAAAGGACACTGCAAAAAATTTGGGTGTTTTATTTGACGAAAAACTGAAGTTTTCAAGTCATGTTAGCAGCCTGTTACAGAAAGGATATTCATCACTTCGACAGCTTTATGCTAATAAACATATATTGTCTATGACTATGAGGAAAAATTTATGCGAAAGTCTAGTTCTTTCGCATTTCAACTATGCCGATTACATTTATGGATATTGTCTAGATATGGTGGATAAAACTCGCATACAAAGTATGCAGAATTCTTGTTGTAGATTTATATTCAACATAAGAAAATTTGACCATATATCCGCCCATTTCCAATCTCTACCGTGGCTAAATATGACGAATAGAAGAACTTTCCATTTGGTTCAATTTGTTCATAATACGCTTAGTAGTGGATTACCCACTTATATAAAGGAATGCCTAAGCCACCGCCACGACCTGCATAGAATGAATATCAGAAGATTCAATACACTTCATATACCCCAACATCGATCTGCTATATTTTGTAAAAGTTTTACTTATAATGCAGTTAAGGCTTTCAATGCAATTCCTGCTGCCATTATGCAATCTTCACAATATCATTTAAAGAAGAAACTCAAAAAATACTTGTTAGATAATCAATAACATTACTTTTCTCAGTCAAAGTATTATTCAATTCTTCAATGTATCTATCTATAGTTAATCTGAGTGAGTTGTAGTTTACTTCGTTTTTGCTCTCGTTTTTGTTTATAATTAAATATACATAATGTATGCATATATATAAGAGACATGACATCGATGTATATGTGTATAATATATTCATATATATTACTTTCATTTTATAAATTATATTTCATGTAGTTTAAAATGGTAATGGTTAGAAATAGTTACCTATAGTATTTTGCAATAATACTGTTTTTTTTTTTTCTGTTTTCTCTCATTCAATCATAATTATGTTTAAACTCATTTGTATTTGATTTCAGAGGTTAAGTGTAAGATTAGCATTGTGCTAAACTTCGCCTCATTTGTATCTTTTTTCTGTGGTACAAATAAAAGACGATTATTATTATTAATATTATTATTATATTCCCACATATCTCTTGATATAATGGCATGGGGATCTACCAATGAATTTTCCAGAGTCTTTGTAAAAAACAAACGAATCATTAGACAAATTTTCAATATGAATCTCCTGGAGAGGTGCAAATCAGTACCCATACGTGAAAATTTACTGACAGCATACTCAGTGTATATTTTGAAATGTATTAGATTTGCCAGAACTAATTTACATGAGCTGGAGAAGAATTCTAGTGTACACAATTACAGTACGCGACATGGAAATCTATTGTGGATTCCGGATCACAAATGTGCAGAATATGAGAACTCTCCATTATGAAATGTGATCAATTTTTACAATAAACTACCTATATCCATCCAGAAATCCACTTCTGACAATATATTCAATGAAAGAGTGAAAGAATTGTTGATAAAAAAAATGCTATTATAGTGTAAATGAATTCTTGGACAATGCTCTAAATTGAACATTGATGAAAAAATATAGAACCCAAATATATGTATTCTCTATTCCATTATGTTATTTATAAATATATAGTCTGTTTGTTATTTATTATGTGTATACCTACTAGTTGTACTACTATGTAATGTAATATTAATCATCCAGATATTTTTGTATATTCATATTTTTATTAATTTTTATTTCAAATTGACATGCCATATGTGCATAATGTACCACAGTGGCGAATAAAATTTCTATTCTATGAAACTGTTCACCCTATCCCTTCGAGAAGGGGGTGGGGGTGTCTCCGCTGGCGTCGGAGGTGGGTCTGCCCCTAAATCTTTTTATTCTTGCTCACTCTATGCCTGTTCAAAAGGATTTTCTTAATCAGAACAGGAAATATCTGACCAGTTTTGGGCTCGTAGGCACTACTAGGACTATTTCACGATTCGATCAGAATTTCATTGAGGGCATTTTTTGTACAAAAAATATATTTCTCTACAAGCGTGCGTGATTCACCCTATACCCGCACGCAATTTAGTTTGGGAAGTGTCATTCTCCCGCTGTAGTGCGGGAAAAACATGTATACATATAACATTCTCGCAAAATATGAGTGGTGGGTGACACAATATGAAAATTTTTAGGTGCTTTTGTAGCAGTATTTAGTAAGTTTGTACAAATCATCCATCAAATTGCACTATTTATTGTGAAAATGAAGGAATATTGAAAAATAATAATTGATTGTTACATAAATCCTTCTACTCGCAATAGAAAATAACACGTCGCCTCATCGATGGCAAGAGCTTGAACACTTGTGGGCGGTTTGTTCTGGAGGATTGACCAATAATCACAAACAAAAAACAAATGTGAACCAATGAAAACAAAGTAAACATTATTTTCTATCGCGAATAGCCTTTAATTGATCTGATGTGAGAAACAATTGTTGTCATGTCAATCAAAACACAAATTAGTTAGTGTAATTCTCATAGTGACAGTCAGAGCGTTACTGTCATTTTCGATTCAGTGGAATTGCGAAGAAAAACTTCCAGCTTCAGATGCAATGCACATGAGTTATTGCCAACGAAGTCTTAAGAAAGGTATGAGAAGCACTACACGGGATTCATTGAATGGTGCAATAGTAAAAAAGTGAAAACACCAAATGAAGAAGTATTTTTTGCTCATTTCCTAGAAATGTCTGAAATCTAGAGGCCAAACACCATGGGCTGGCTACCGCAATAAGCTTACCATAATGCTTCAAACGATACACACAATAAACATATCACCAATTATTATAAGATAGAGAATATATCAATCACTATTGTTAGTTGTTCCTATTTGTAGGAATAATTGATTGAACAAATCGATCAATTTCCTACGCGTGTTGAACAAATATTGTTCCTAACTCATGCAGATAGCGTCTTTCCCGCACTCGACTGCTTGCCCGAACTCCGCTTCGCGAGTCAACAGCATTCGCGTGCGGGATAGTGTCACTTTTTCCGCACTTGTTAGGAAAATTACTATTTTCTCAGTCATCGTCATCGGAAAACCGAGCAAGAAGAAGACGAGGAACTGCTCGCTGAAACGAACCAAAAATGCAAACCGACTATCCGTTTCGACGTGTCACCTCCGTACATAAAAAACGGGGAGATGCGAGACTATCAAGTGCGAGGGCTCAACTGGATGATATCTCTTTATGAAAACGGCATAAACGGCATTCTAGCAGATGAAATGGGTCTTGGTAAGAATTATTATCAAATAAAGTGCCAAGTTTTTCACTTGTTTGAATCTTTTTTTCAGTAACTAGTATTTATTCTCGAAAAATTATTGAAACTATGTTTTGGTATTTTTTTTTTCAAATTCGAAAAAAACAAATTTAACATACATAATGTTACATAATTAGCATGCAATATTTGGCAGTGCATTCCCTGATCAAAAATGGGAAAACAGTTCACAAACATTCTGTGAAAGATGTTTTCTAAGGCAGCTACATCCCTTTTGATTTGCACCCCTGAAGATTGAATTTTGAGAATTTATGATGTTTTCATGGTTGATAGGTTGTGGTAACATCAGTTCCAGAATTGTTATCAGGAGTAGGTCATGAGTGGGTCGAATGGAGAGGTTTGAAACGACTTCAACTTTTTAGTATACAAAATATTTGAGGTTTCGTTTCTGTCAAATTATAAAATTCTAGATGCTTGGCATAATATTACAAGAAAAATTTTATTAGATGAGCATGAATTTTATTGCAATGTGTCCCTGATTCAGGGAATATGTCATTATTGTTGTAGGCTATCCAGATCTCTTGATTTATCACCCTTGCAATTTCTCTTGTGAGGACAAAATTCATTGCTCATTCTCCAACAGTTACAGCCTAATCTTATTTTAATATTATATATATCACATTTGTTCTCCATGAACAGACAGATGTCCTGACTTATCACCATTGAAAGCTTTCTTTTGGGAACATTTTAAATTCATAGCTTATTTCTCACAGCTGCAATACATCCCAATTCTCTCTTCTTTTTTTGTCAGCAAACTCGTCATTTTTGTTTTTTCAATCTCAAATGGCCAACCAGCTCTCCTGATTTATCACCCTTCGATTTTTTCTTCTGGTGACAGAAAATCCAAAGTTTATTCCTTGCAATAGTCAAACCCCATCATCTTCTTTTATTTTTAGCAGATACACCAGTATTGTTTTCTTGATCTCAAATGGCCTGCCAGACTGATTTATCACCCTTGGAATTTTTATTGTAGGGACGGGGATTTGATTTTCATGTTGTTTTTTAGCATCTAGCTGAAAATTCTATATTTTGGGGATGTACAAATGAGAAAAGGAAGAGTTATTTGAAATGTTCAATTAGCGTTTTTCTTTAAAAACTTTGAAGGAAATGGTGGTATTCCGATGGTACCCATAGGAAACTAATGAAAAAAAAATCTGACACATCATGCTCGCTAGGCCCTATAAAAAATCATTGTGAATTGTGGTTCCAGTGTGGAACCACCAGGACTGAAAGGGATTTCATAATTTATTTCTCACCACAGTCAATCGAGTTTTTTTCATCAACTAAACTGATGAACAATGAAACGGTTTACCTGAATATTATATATTAATCTCAAATCACACATACCTAAATCTTTTTCATCCATCAATTCTGATTGAACCGTTCATTCTAAAATTCAAATATTCGATTTGTTTACTAATTCATGTTTCTTGGGATCAATAAAATGTATCAGTAAAATTATTAATTTTGTTACAATCTCTAAACGTCTTAACATCCACCAGGTAAAACCTTGCAGACGATCTCTCTGCTGGGCTTCATGAAGCACTACAAGAACACCGCCGGCCCACACATCGTCATCGTGCCTAAATCGACCCTATCGAATTGGATGAACGAGTTCCAGAAGTGGTGTCCGTCTTTGAAGGCCGTGTGTCTGATCGGTGATCAGGAAGCCAGGGTGAGTGGATTTTAAAAAAATGTGTATCTTTTCTTTGCTACCACAAGGTGACTAGAGTCACTGGATGGTATAAGTCAGATAAAAACTTGGACATCTGTTGGTGTTTTTGAATGATCAGATTCATTAAGTTACACACCTTGCATTGTGACAAGAGCACCATAGGCTATATTCTGAATTCAACTGACAGTACTGAATCTGCTGATTATTCATTCGGAAATGAAAAAATTCACTGGAAGTGACAGATGCTTGTGAGCAGACATACTATTCATTCCAAATATTTTTGTACTCAACATTCTGCTGAAATTGCTAAGTATCAGAAGGTAGTGTGGCTTCAGTGAACTGTCATTATTTTAGAGGAGGAAGGAATGTAACATTCATTCCCGCTGTTAATATTATTTTCAATATCAGAAAACATGTGTTATTGACATAATAAACTGAGAATAATATAGAGTATGAAGAAGTAGAGGTAACGAAAGAAGAAGCAGCATTGGCTAAATAAATATATAAATAAATCTGTAATGTCTCCTAAATTCATCATCATTACGTTCTCCATGAATCTTTCAATTCCCAATCTGGTGCATCTGCGTCATGAAAAATTGATGGCAACAAAATGTCCAAGTATTCTTCATCACTCGAGCTTGAATCGTCATCGTCAATAATCGTAGAAACTATGGAGGCTACAAAAAGCGATTGCTCTTCCAGGTTGAATATTGAATTTCCAAAATTTATATCAAGCAGGAGGCTAAATATCTAGTTCAGTCAGATAAACGAGAAACTACATACTGACAAATTTCACCAGCTTATCAACTGCTGCTGCTGCTGACTATGCATTGTTCAAAATTGTTGAATTTCAGAGGTTATTTGAAACATACCGTAATGGCCGCCATTTGGCGATACGTCGAATAAATGGTGATGTTAGCTTTTATGCTGTTTTTATTGGTCAGATAAATTTCATTCCCACTCATGGAGCAAGGTTGTCAAGTTATCAAAAAGATATTAGAGTCTTGCCACTCCTGTGGTTGAATAAAACAGGAGATGAAACATAATTGGAGAAAGTCATAAACTCGCATAAAAGTATAGTTCATTCTATACCTTTTCAACTTCAATTTCGGAATCGGTAAGTTATATTTCGGAAAAAGTAATCTCGATTTCAGAATTGGTTAGTTCGATTTCAGAAATGGTAAACTCAATTTCAGAATCGGTGAGATGAATTTCAGAAAAAGTGCATTCAATTTCAGAAATTGTAAGTTATATTTCAGAATTGGTAGGTTCAATTTCAGAAAAAAAATCCTTATATTTGTTCGAAATGTTTCCAATTGCATGTGAGATTAACAAACTATATTTACAATATTCAACTTGTCAAAAACAATTCAATAACATAATTATAATCTCAATTTAATCCACAGATGCCTTCCATCCGAATCGCTGGAAGATAGTGGCGTTGCACATGATTATAAGAATGCAAACACATTTGAGGTGTTATCATTTTCGCTGAATGATCTGCACATTCCTCAAGACATCGCAGTCTAAATTCTATCTGGTTGAGCAATCTGTTCGGATCCCCAGCTATGACCCTTTGGCGATGCTCTTGCAAGAAGCTCACTTCTGACTTGAAGGCACCCCATATATGTTCAATCTGATTCAACATAGGGCTCTCAAACACCATTCCATCCAGAGAAAATTGTTCTCTTTTGCAATTCAAAACATTTCGAACATATAAAAGGATCCATCTCCTGAAATTGAACCTACCAATAATTCTGAAATACAACTTACCATTTCTGAAATTGAATGGACTTTTTCTGAAATTCATCTCACCGATTCTGAAACTGAGTTTACCATTTCTGAAATCGAACTAACCAATTCTGAAATCGAGATTACTTTTTCCGAAATATAACTCACCGATTCCGAAATTGAAGTTGAAAAGGTATAGACTTATTCGAGCAACCAGCATGTCCAAATATTTCTTTTACTTCAAAACAAAATATCATGTGAATGTTGAAGACTTGGCAACAATCTGCTGAATTCTGAGAACTGACAAGGCACCGCCCACAATTCGTGCGCAGTGTTGACACGTTCACCGGTTCAAATGTCCTCTAGTGTGAATTATAATGATTATTATTCACACAAATGACACAATTGATTTTTTATTGATAACTAGGAATAAGTATTATAACAATACATAATTGAAAATTAATGAATTATTGAATAAATAATATTTCTGAACTTCCCAGTCGTATTTTAATATTTGACAACTGTGCTATGGTATGCCCCAACTTATGAAATCGTGGCGTCATTTTTGCTCGCGATGAATTTCTAGCTGTTTGAAAATTATCGTGGCATTATTGATGATTTTAGTACCTTAAAATCGACCGAAAGTTTCTAAAAAAACTAGGAATTGAAAGTATTGGAGTGATAACAATTTTTTTTACAAATTTTACTTTGCAGAGTTCCTTCATCCGAGACGTGATGATGCCTGGCGAGTGGGACGTTTGCGTCACTTCTTATGAAATGTGCATCAAGGAGAAGTCGGTTTTCAAGAAGTTCAACTGGCGGTACATGGTCATCGACGAGGCGCACCGCATCAAGAACGAGAAATCGAAGTTGTCGGAGATACTCAGGGAGTTCAAGACGACCAACAGGTTACTGTTGACGGGTAGGATATTGATCATCGGTTTTCATTGAAAGAAATAAAAAACTGATGGTTTTTGTTTTATTTTTATACAATTATTGTAAAAAAACTGTACTGTCCGGTATATCCTGCATCAAATCTTGTTCTATCTTCCATCCAAGTTGTGCTCATAGAGTGAGAATATGTTGTGAAACAGTTCTTATGGAAAAATCTCCGGACGAAAATGATAATAGTACACCTCAAAAGTTCAAAGAAGAGAACATCAAATCGCTAAAGCAGATCATTGAAGAAAAAGAACGTACCATCCAGGACAAATCATCCATTATACAACTTTTACTGGACAGAGTAAATTATCTTGGAGAACAAATTATTAATGCTCTGTTTCCCGCAACAGTGAATCACGGATTTTGAGAAATTATAATGGTGAAACAAGTTATAAAAACGGTGACTTGTTCAAAAAAGTGGTAACAGATACGGTATCAAAATCAGACACACACCAGACCAACAAAAACAATGGAATCTCCCCTATCCAGCAAAAACAATGATCAGCTGAAATTTCAAATATACAGACAGAAATTAAATATCTTAGAACAGGGTGACCAAAAGCTTGAAGTTCAATGACATCAAAGGAAGAAAAATAATCATTATAGAAAGAGATTAGGTAATATCTCAACAAATGAAGATACTAATACTGGTTTTGTTGGTGCTGATAGGAAAGTGTGGATTTATATTCACAGGATAAAAAGGCATCTAACATCGGAAGATATGAGTCTTTTGAAGAGTGATCTGTCGATGTCAAAGAAATTCCTTCTCAACCTAGAATGCTCAAAAGATTTGTTTTCTCTGTTCCATTTTGTCAAAACGAACTGTATGATCCGAGTTTCTGGCCTTTGAATGTTGGTATCACAAGGTTTAATTTCACCAAACATAGTGATTTCCTCAAAAATGTTGGTGATCTTTTATACTAGGTGGGTCAAAAAAAATCACCCTATTGGAAGATGCTCTCATTTTTGCAAATGGCGGCCAATTTCAGATCTGTTTTGACGTTTGTGAACTAGACAGATGTAGAATACAAGTGAACAAGCCATGGAGCGGTATTCTCCCCAAGAACGCGGAATAATCCAAGCCAAGCCCTCCTCAATCTCATGGACGATTTTTCGACCAAAATCATAATGAGCGACGAGGCTCATTTCCACCTCAGCGGGTACGTGAACAAGCAGAACTATCGCTTCTGGGGCACCGAAAATCCACGATTGATGCACGAGGAGCCATTACACCCGCTCAAAGTGACTGCATGCTGCGCTGTTTACTCTGGAGGAGTCATCGGACCAATTTTTTTCGAGGACGCCGCTGTTCAACCGACAACTGTGGACGGTGCGCGCTATAGGGCCATGTTTACCGAGTTTTTTCTGCCGCAATGGGCTTATATCACAAAAAAATTTCATTTCATAATTCGATAGAACTCACCCAAACTAGCTCACCACCGCAAACCGTTTCTTGCTGTGAGCTCCCTACGTTTTATAAAAAATTATTGAAACCCCCGATTTTTCGGACCTCCGAAAACGAGGCGATGATGTGACGTCAAAACCCTAATACTGAAACAAGACTGTTCCAGACAGAGATGAATGATACATGATTTGTCACAAAGCACCAAGATTGGTGAATCGGCAAGTTGATTTTTGGGACATAGATGATAAGAACAAGAAGAAGATCAATTTATTCTAACCTATATTAAGTTTCTGCAACTTTCGAATATTAAATTGAAATATTTCGACAAAAGTATGATTGAGAAATGTTCTGTGCCTAATTGCAATAAAAAAAACATCATTTAGCTGGGAATTTTGAGAACAAATCTCGCCCCTCACTGGGTAAACACAATATTATAGTAGTAGTTTTGCTTTGCAGAAATTCATAGGGAAATTGCTTGAAGAATGAATGATCCATCTCCTAGAAGAACATTCAGGGGGAGATGCAAGCAGTATCTAGTCTTGAGAATAACATTGTTTCATACCAATTGATCATATTGTTGCATAGGTAAACATATCGATCAGTGACTGATTTAATGAGGATTCTCCCTCGGAATCTCCATATGATGGGTATTCTGATGTTAAATATCCTTTCAGGTGAACAATTTTCCAATGCAACTATAATAGGTAAGCAATGAAAATTGAATGAATATTGTGGAACTTACCTTTCAGAGTTTCTATTCCTCATTTCAGCACTGAGGAACTGTGGAGATTTTCTAGTATGTTAGAGACATAAAAATAATTAACCATTTCCAAATCAATTTTCGGTAGATTATTTGATGAGCCTTTTACAAATCCTGATTCAACGTTCATGTTTATATTCAATACATCAATAATATGTACTAATATGATATAAAGCAAGATTTGGAGGTTAATTTCATTACGTGTCTTCTCTTCTCATTTTAGACGACATAATTAACTTCGGAATCGGAATTCGAGACTCGATGCAAATGCAGCTCCATGTGAAACGGGTCAACAAAGCAATGTTGCTGCGTTCATGAAATATATTGGATTATTATGAAATTGTCATGGTGCAAATGGTTTTGAGATTGAGACATTTCATTGTTTAGAGATTGTTTATATTCTAATGATTCAACCTACCATCGACAAGTTGAATATATTTTCCTGCAGTAGTGGTAGTTGATATCGAAAGATATTTCAATATCGATTTCGATCTCTCGGATATTTTGTCAAGATGATATGGCAACAGTGATAAGTGTCACACATGGGTCACTCTATGGATCACGCTCATTGGTTCCAGGCGAGATGAGGTTTCTACGTCATAAAGAGGGTCCGTTTTCAGAAGGTACTATTATTTATGTCCAAAAATAAAACATTCCAGTTAATTTTTAGATGGAATTATGTCGTCAATCGTTATTTATGTATAAAAGGATCATTATGAACATGGTTTGAGTTGAAAGTTCTACTAAGGTGTACACGCCCATTGAACGAATTAGGGCTGGAGGACATGTGGTTCCAACAGGATGGAGCAACGACACACACTGCGCGAGCATGGCGTTCCCGGGTCTCCTCATTTCTCGTTTCGGCGATTTACTCTGAGCTGAGAGCCAAACAATATCCGAAGACTTCTTTTGGTCCACCTTGTAGATAACTCCCAAGATGTTGCTTAATATGTAGATTCTATCAGTAAACCCATTATCGAATCATCCACAGTGAATGGATCCATTCCAATAAATTCATTGGGGGAATTAGAACCAGTCCAAACAGAGTTAAATGCTGATTCTTCTTCGACTGAAGACAATTCAAGAATATTATCCTGTTATTACCAAAATATTCGTGGACTCTGAACCATACTGGACGATTTCAATAGAGCTCTTCAGATATGTGATCACGATATAATAATCATTACTGAAACCTGGTTGAAAAGTGATTTCTTGGACACAGAAATAAGTGACTCCAAGTATTCAATCTTCAGGCGGGATCGAAACTATCTTGAAACTAATTGTACACGCGGTGATGACGTCATGATATGTGTTAGGTGCTACACTTCTAGCAAAAAAAAAGTGGTATCTGGTGATCTATTTGCTGATAATCCTCTTCTGGAAGATCTGTAGGTGGAGCTAAAAATCTCGACAAGTTAAGTGTTGCTCTGTGCCGTGTACATATGCCCAGGATCCAGCACCGAGTTGTATCAGAGATTTGCTGCAAAAGTGCAACACTTGAGTAGGAGCTATGTAGATGCGAATTTCATAATCACAGGTGATTTTAACCTACCCCAAATGAATTATAAGTTGTATGGAATAATTTTAGTATGATCGGCATTTTAAACATTGAGATATATATTATGCATTGATTTGCAAATGTTGAAAAAATAGTTTTGTAATTGCGAAATGTAAAAATACAAATATACAGAATCACTCAATTCAATCATAAGTTCACAAGTCATTAAATTAAAACATATTTTACAGTTCAGGATCAGACTCAACATATAGGTGTAAATAAAAAAAAATATATAAAATTTCTAATCACAGCAAAGTTTCATTGTAACATTCCTCAAGGTTGTAATACGCTTTTGTTGCAAGGGCTTCTTTAACAAGATTTATGAACTCTTTATAACTTTTCTCCTTCCTGATTTCGTATGGTATGTGGACTTTTTACTTTCATAAATTGAGTAATATTTTGTCTGGCTTGTTTTTCGAATGGGAAGAGATATTTTATTTTCTGTTGCTTGACGTATTACGTGATTTGTATGTCTCGAAGTTTCAACCATATTATGCGTTTTGTGAATCAGGCAAGCAGTTTCCAGAATGAAAATGATAGTTAGAATTTTGTCTCTAATAAATAAAGGTCTACATGAATCACGCACTCCCAACTTGCATAAGTATCTAATCACTCGCTTCTGCAAAACATTCACTGAATGAAAAAGTTGTTGACTGCAAATTCCTCAAAAGGCAACACCATATCTCAAGTGAGACTCAATCAGAGACCGTTATACCATTTTGGTTGTGGATGACCTCAGTTCATTTGAAACAATTTGGAGTGCATAACATCCTGATGCCATTTTTTTTGTTAAAGCTGATATATGCTGGTAAAATTTTAATTGATTATCAATAAAGATTACCAGGAAATCGGATTGGTTTTTATTCTCAATAAAATGTCCATTTAAGTACAAATTGTCGACATTAGAGTTGAAGGTGAGTTAGTTTTTTTATGTTGAAGTTCAAGTAATTTACGTCACACCATTTTTTTTACAATATAAAAATCTCCAGAAGTATCTTTCATACGATCAGTATATTTTCCTTGCCAAAAGAGCATTGTGTCATCCGCAATTATCGTAAAAATTCCTTGAATTGAAAGAATAACTAGGTCGTTTAGCTATACAGTGTGTCTCACTTCTAGTGAAAACATCTCTGTATCGTACGTATTTGTTGGGTAAGGATCCTGAAATTTGCTGGAGCGAGAAATATTCTAAAAATGTACTCTATGGTCACGTGGGGTCCACTTCAGTGATATACAAGCTCACGAACAGCCATGGAACCACCCCAATTTCCGGAAAATTATATTAGGATTCGAAATAGGTTGAAAATAACTTCGGATTCGGAATCAGGACGCCCGATATACTAACTTTTTATATTTAGCCTGAAAAATTTCCAGTTCTGAAAAATATATTTTTGTCTCACTTTCATGGGAACACTCCCGTATCTCACGTAATTATCAAGTTAGGATTGTTGCATTTCCAGAAGCAAAAAATATTCCTAAGATGAAGTCAATGACGAATTGAAATTGATATCAATGAACCACCTACATGCCCGGAAAATCATATTAGCAGACAAGATAGATTGGGAATCACTTCGGATACGAGAACAGAAAACACAATGTCTAATTCACTAACTACTCATATTCCTTCTAAAAATTTTCAGCTCTGAAATAATAAATTTTGCCTCACTTTTCACGGAAGCATCCCCAGTATCTTACGTAATTATTGATATAGATGTCTGAAATTCACAGGACCAAGAAAGAGACCAATGACCAAGTGGGATCATCTTCATTGATACACTGTTCCCAGCAACCAAAGGAACACAAAAATTCCAGGAGGAAAAATTTATTAAATCGGAGAATTCACATAATGGTTGTTCTGAAATTGATAATCATAAAGTCAGTTCTCATCAGGGATAATGAAATTACAATCGGTACTAGTACAATCGGATAGATTATCAGGAGTGATTCAATAGATCAAAGATCATGACAACGGCAGTACGAGGAAAATCGTTATCGATAATAATGCGTAAAATATGGGAAGTTAGTGAATTGGACGTCATGTTTTCGAACCCGAAGTGATTTTCAACCTATCTTGTCTCTTGATATTATTTACCGGACGTGTGTGTAGTTCCACGGCTATTGGCGAGCAGTGTATATCACTTGAACATAGAGTACATTTTTGGTATATCTCTCGCTCCAGCAATTTCCAGGGTAACTCAACGTAACCCAACGATTACATATGATACGGGGGTGTTTCCATGAAAAACGAGACAAACATGAATGTTTCAGAACTGAAAAATTTTCAGGAAAAATATTAATAGTTAGTGAAGTGGGCGTCTTGATTCCGGATCCGAAGTGATTTTCAACCTATTTTGACTCCTAATATGATTTTCCGGAAATTGGGGTGGTGCCAAGGCTGTTGGCGAGCAGTGTAAATCACTGAAAATGATCCCACTTGATCATAGAGTGCATTTTTGGTATATCTCCCGTTCCAAAAAATTTCAGGATCCTTACCCAACGATTACGTAAGATACAGGGGTGTTTCCATTAGAAGTGAGACACACTGTATAATCAAAAGAATCGGGCCCAGAACTGATCCTTGTGGAACACCCGATAAGATATCCTTAGTGTGTGATAGTTATTCATTTGATTTCACTACTTGTTTTCTATCACTTATCGCTGTGCTAGAACAATACTAGGACTGAAAAACATAGTTTCGAAAAAATTGAGTTTTAATGTTATAATTGTAGCTGACACTCACATTTTCCAAACTGACGATGTCATTTTATGGTGTTCGGTGTCAAAGGTATATGGAAGCCTATTGTCGATAGCGTAATCGCCATAAAGTCTGAATTTCGTCTTCAAAAAATTATTTTGTAAGATGTCTTTGTGTCACACTGGGAAAAGAAATATATTCCGAAGATGTCTCGATTTTTGGTCGAAGTTATCTCAGTATTGAAATTACTTGTTTTGTTTTTGGTATAAGTTATTCCAACTTTTGTTGAAATTGTCCTTGTATTGTTTTATATTTTTCGGAATTTCAGTTTACTTAACGTCATTTCTCAGTTTTGAATAAATCCTTGTTTTGCATGGATAGTTGAGGGAAATTTGATAATTTGTCTTTCACTTTCTTTTCTGAAGTTGTCCTTCTAATGTCATGTTGTATGAAAACATCTGTTAAAGAAAAATAAAATGTATTTCTACAAAGTTCATCAAATAAAACGAATACAAACTGATATAATCATCAATAAACAAACTACCTATTCATTGGTATACAGGAAGGAACTGTTTTCTCGATATCGCCAGACATTCACATTCTAAAGTAAACAAATTTACCAGTTTATGTTAGAGTTGTTCGAGAGGAGGAACAGAAAACTTACCATTTCGAAGCCCGTAAAAAATGGCTAGTTTTAGGTTTGATAACAATACACCCTGATGGAGAGTTATCAGTAATTTAAAACAAATACAAATTTTTTTCATGACATTTCGCACCCTGTATATTGACTCACCGTATAAGCAATATCCGCATTTTTAGGTGACACACCACATCTTGCGGCTTTACTAAGTATTCTTTGTGTTCTAGTCATCCGCTTCCTACTGCATTTAGCGATAGACTAATTATTATTCGCACAAATACGAACCTTTATTTGGTTCAATACAGATACATCTTCAAGAAATTCGGAATGTTTTCAGGGTTATGGATCTTTACGTGGCGCAATACCAAGATAACTTGAAAAAGCAGTTATATTGGATTAAATATTATCAATTCGTGGTGAAATACTGAGGTATATTCGATAATGCAATACTGAGATAACTTCAAAAATCAAGATATCTTATAGAAGCTATCCTTACATCTGGGGAAAGAGTGAGACAACTCGAAATGTCCTACTATATCACCAAAGAAAACATAGAAATATAAGTCGCATATGGAAAGAAGAAGACAAACTTTTCAACATGTCTTACTATTGAACCATGTAACCATGAAAATATATATATTGCAATAGTGAGATATCGGTAATAGCATGCTCAAATTTTTCAATGTAATATGTAATATAGCTTACTATGGCTCCAGAAAGAGCATTTTCTCAGCATTATTCTGTACCAGATATCTTGAGTTTGCCATTTTTCAAGTTGTCCTAGTATTGTTCTAGCACAGCGTTATGTAAGACCTAAACGTATTGGAAATCTCATTTGCCGGCAATTTTTTTCATTTCTCTATAAAACCATTCATGAATAAAATGAAAAATTCAGGTACCCCACTGCAAAACAACCTCCATGAGCTGTGGGCCCTGCTCAACTTCCTGCTGCCAGACGTCTTCAACTCCTCTGATGACTTTGATTCATGGTTTAACACCAACCAGTGTTTCGGCGATAACGCCCTGGTGGAAAGGCTGCACGCCGTTTTGAAGCCGTTTTTGCTGAGGAGATTGAAGGCCGAGGTGGAGAAAGGGCTCAAGCCGAAGAAGGAGGTGAAGGTGTACGTGGGGCTTAGTAAAATGCAGAGGGAGTGGTACACCAAGGTGCTGATGAAGGATATCGATGTGGTCAACGGTGCCGGAAAGGTCAGTGATTACTCTATTGTTTGTCTTTATTACCCGAAGGAACATAGCTGTTTATAATAGGGATTTTGACCCACAACAGCCTTCTGTTTTGGAACCCTTCGACCGATTTTCAAACAAAAATTCTATAATATAGTGCTCAACGAGCTCTATTAGTTACTTTTTCTGAAGGTGAAAGTTCAATTCTGAGTAATCAAATCATGCCAAATATTTCCAAATGAAAATTGCTAAAGTATTACCAGTTCACAAAAATGGGAAGAAAGATGATTTGAATAATTATAGACCAATTTCTGTTCTCCCGATCTTTTCCAAAATTCTAGAAAAAATTATGAATAACCGTCTAATAAATCATCTTGAAAATAATGGCCTATTGTTTAGTGAACAATATGGATTTTGTAGGTCAAAAGACACAGAGGTAGCTGTGATGGATGTCATTTCAGATACTCAGTTGCGAATAGATGACAATCACAAATGCGGCATTCTGTCTTTGGATCTGTGTAAGGCCTTTGACACTGTAAATCATAATATTTTATTGACTAAATTATCATCAATGGGTGTCGGAGGAAAAATTCAAGATTGGTTTCAAAATTATTTGAAGAATAGGAAACAGTATGTTGATGTGAATAATACTTGTAGTTCCTTGATGAATATTACATGTGGTGTACCGCAAGGGTCAGCTATGGGGCCAGTTTCATTTTTAATCTATATTTGAAACAAATATCATCTCTGCTAACGACCAATAAGTTGACTCTTAGTAAATCTACGTATATGTACTTCTCAAGAAGAACAACGGATATATTGAATAATGCCCCAATACGTTTCAATAACAAATCCATTGAATATACAGATGTAACAAAATTCTTAGGTCCTTATTTTGATGAACAATTATCGTGGACTCTACATATAGATCAATTGAGGAAAAAATTGAATCCTATTGCTGGTATTATATATAAAATTCGAAATTTCATTCCTGTTAGATACCTAAAGAGTATTTATTCCTGTCTTTTTTATTCAAATATACAATATCTAATATCTATTTGGGGAAGTACAAATATTTCACGTTTGAAGCCACTCATGAAATAACAAAATAAAACAATAAAGTGCATTTTCAATTTACCTCTTTTAGAATCAACTTTGAATCTATACAAACCTAAAGACTTGCTGAATCTAGTTTCATTATATAGACTCAAAATTTGTTGTTTTATTCATTTTTGTCAGGAAGAAATTGAAAATATCGAATCTGAATTTTAATAATATGATACACCAACAAATCAATTATATAATATAACTGAATCATTCTCATTAGAAGAAATGTTCAAAATCGAAAGACTGAAAATTACATACAATATCATAAATAAAAGATTGAAATCTAATTTTATTTTAACAGGAAACAATGAAATTCATAATTATCAAACTAGACAACATGGTTTATTTCATCTTGATATCGCTAATACTTCTATAGGCCATAAAAGATTCACCCATGCTGCTCTCTTGGAATCTAACAAATTACAAATTACCAGATATAATAAAAAATTGCAGAAATACAATAAAATTTCATTTCTGAACGAAATAGATTTTTTTTTTCAACTTTTGATTCATATTCAAATTGATTTTTGCTCACCAATATGAAATGATTTGTCAAAATTTAATAATTAATGTTTTCAAATATTTTATTATTCATCAGTTTATTATAATTGTATAGTTTTAGGTATTATTGTTAACTATACTTCCTTATACCAGAACTTGATTCTGACTGGAAGTAACATTTTCAATAAATAAATAAAATAAATAAAAATAATGTTTATACGATTCACGCCCATGAAACAAGGCAAAATTTAATTTATTGACAGCAAATAATTATAAGTCAAATTTTGGAAAACAATCAATATTCTATAAAGGAATAATTTTATATAACTCCTTACCTAATGAGTTGAAAAATATAGAAGAAGCAGAAAAATTTAAAATCAAATTAAAGAAATATCTGCTCAGTAAACTTTAATTCTATATCTACTAATCATTTACAATTTGATTACTTTTAATGGATTATAATATTTTCATTTTATATTTTATTGTAAAATTTTTTATGAAAAACAATAATTGTGCAGTTAATATTGATTCGATTTATTATATATATATTCCTATTATAAACAATAATGTTTCTTGGGTAATAAACACAATCAATCAATCAAGAGCTAAATGCCCAAATTTTTTTGTATGTGCAGTGTCGTTTTCAAAACCCAGAAAGTGGACGAAAATTACTAACAGAATTTGCATTTTGCTGTCGGTACTGGTATAAATGTATGAAAATCTTCTTATCCGTTTCTTTGTCAAAGTTGATTGTTTTGCAAAGGTGGAGAAGATGCGCCTGCAAAACATCCTGATGCAGCTGCGCAAGTGCACCAATCACCCCTATCTGTTCGACGGGGCCGAACCCGGTCCCCCCTACACCACCGACGAGCATCTGGTGTACAACTGCGGCAAGATGGTGCTGCTGGACAAGCTGCTGCCGAAGCTGCGCGAGCAGGACTCCAGGGTGTTGATCTTCTCGCAAATGACCAGGATGTTGGACATCTTGGAGGATTATTGCCATTGGCGGCAGTATCAGGTAACGTTGTTTTGTTCAATTCTCCTATCGACATTGAAAAAAATATACAGGGTTTCTGTAGAAGGTTGGAACATGGCTCGGCTGTGGACTCCTGGGATAAAAACAAGTTGATTCAAGGCCAACTTACCTATATCCAAAATCATCTCGTTGAGTTGGTACAAGGCGTTGAAGTTTTTTTGTAAAAAAATGATTTTGCTCATAAAAAGAGTAGGCTGATATCGATTTTCCTAATTTTTGGCATGGCGTTCTGTGACTGTAAGTCACGTTTTGGTATGTTTTTGATCATCATCAGTGACCTGCAAGTGTTTCAAACAACCATGTTGCCGTACAAATTTGGTGATAACGTTTCAGAGGTCGGACTGAAAACTTTCAGTTTTTTTTTCCAGGAAGATATTTTCTCCAGAAATATTTTCGTATTGTGTTAATTTTTCTCTCGAGGTTCATTTGCAAATAAATAATTTCTGGTTGGGACATGGCTCGACTGTCGGCCGACCACAAAATTGTCCTATGACAAAAAATAGACTCATCAAATCAATTTTTGAATTGACTCGGTCATTACTTGATTAAAATCCATGGCAAATTCTCAAACACACAACATGTTTCGCAAACACAATAGCTTCCTCAGGTGATATACTGGTATAATGAAGTAAACTAACCTTGGCTTGCTCAACTTTTATATATTCTACTTTTCCAACCTGAAGGATTAGTTACCTGTGGACAGGTTAGATAAACCTTCATATTCGGAAATTAGGCAACAATATCTACATTGAAATACGGTGTGGATTAACTTGAAAGGGTCGATAGCAAACACATTATTACCTACTAAGAAAGCAAATTCAACAGTGGTGAACTGTTGAGATCTAATTGATCGTTGAGTAAAATGTCCCCACCATTCGCGATTTCGTTCATTTATCCGTGTTTGGCGTTAAGGAGAATACTTTTCAATGGTTCATGGGTGGATTTCCTTGCAGTATTGCCGGTTGGACGGTCAGACGCCGCACGAGGATCGTCAAAGGCAGATCAACGAGTACAACGCCGAAGGCAGCTCCAAGTTCATCTTCATGTTGTCGACGCGGGCGGGCGGTTTGGGCATCAATCTGGCGACGGCCGACGTGGTCGTTATATTCGATTCGGATTGGAATCCGCAGATGGACCTGCAGGCTATGGACAGGGCGCACAGGATAGGGCAGAAGAAGCAGGTCAGGGTGTTCAGGTGAGTACCAAGATGCATGATCCTTTATTCTTGAATGTATTGTCAAAAAGTATAAATGGCTATGAATAAACGTCACTCAAACTCCCGTTCATTTCAAGACCTTTTACCATAAGTTAACTTTTCCAAATTAAAACATTCAGTTCATTGTAGTTTCGATCAGGTCAGCGGAGTTCATAGACGTCAGTTGCTTCATAATTTGCAAAAAAACCGCTTACCGCTCGATAATACCGAACCGAAAGGTAACGACCATTCCCATTGTGAAACATTGCCAACCTAGCATCGATGCCCAATATAAATAGTACCAGAGTCGATAAGACAAGTCATTTAGTGATCACCAATTGAAAATGTTCGCTGTCTCCCCAAATTCAAGCCTACTGGTCAACCCCCTGGTAGACGTTATGATGTGAGTGCTGTTTTTTTTTCAGTGTTGTTTTGCGTTGTGTTTATTTGGGTTTTTTGCCTTTGCTAACCTTCCATGTGCAGCATCTATTCATGACCTCTTCAATTAATCAATAAATGTTAATTTTATATGAAAGCTGTCCGGTCTCTTTATTTGGGGATGAATATGGTTGGGTGGTGAAATGATCAAAACCTCTCGTCAGAAAGCCAAGCGAGTAGTCACGACCTATAGGAGGGTCAAAATCTGAGTTGCGACACGTGGTGGAGGCGCAGTTTGTTCTCCATAATGCCATATAACCTACTAATTGACATTTATGACAGATATATCACATCATATAACATCGAAAATAGTTCAGTGGTGCAGACTAGATGTTAGAAAAGGAAAGAGTTGAGCTCTTCTACGTAGAACATCTTTCTCCTCAGTGCTACCAACGTGGCCGCATTAAAATATAGAGGTTCTATAAATCTTTCCTCGTCTAACATCTAATCTGAACTATTTTCGATGTTAATGATCTGATATGTCTTATGTCATGAATGTCATTGACTGATAGTCTAAAAATTTCAAAATCTGGGCTACGTTCAGCAACAGGTCTCATCACAGTAGTCCGATCACAACAAGCAAAGAAGCTCTGGTTGTACGGTATTTCATTAGTTGCTTTTCAAGTGGATCTGTAATTTTGCTCCACTCATATGAGTTACAGTATAGGATAGATACTTCACCCTCATCCATTTTCGTTTCAGTGAGTCGATAGAAAGAGAATGGAACCGAACACTAAAGCCCGGTGTAAAGAAAAACTATCAGAAGTATTAACATGAGTGCTCACAATACTATCGATTATAATTCTGTCAGAAATCAGCGAGATTCAATTGTTTTGTGTCTTAGTAACACCACGAATATTCGAAATAAATTGAATATAATTCATAACAATAATGGGAAACTCATCACTGTTCGCTGGTTTATGGTCGGGTTTCCTCTTTTGTTCAATTTTTCTGTTGGGCCTAAATGGTCGATTTCAGACACGTTGCTTCTTTGATCTAAATCTGAAACATAGTTGGTATTAAATCTTTTATTTTGAATAAATTGGGGATTGAAATTATGTCTCTGTCTCCGATTCACTGTGAAGGATTGTTCCTATTCATCTTGAATGGAAATTACATCAACTATAATGGTAGGTACATTAATGAAAATGACACTTGCATTTTCATTGAAGTTGAATACAAATACTATATGAATTAATTTGGTAGTTGATTTCTGTGCGTAGTTGATATTTTTATTCATCCTGAATTAGAATTGTATTCAATTTTCATGGTACTTGAAATAATATGATACATGATATGATATACATGAATTTTGTTTTTTGAAAAAATGTATGAAACATTTTTTTCATAAATACAGTCACAATGTCGACTAATGCTTCAACAGTTTGATTGAATGATCGATGAAAGTCGTTTTTTATGAAGAAATGTTCAAATACGAATAAAAATACGATCTGTATATGATAATGTTCATGAAAACTTATCTTGGACATCTCCATATTCCATTAATCCTCCTGACAGATGTTGAGCTCCTAAGTGAATTGTCCTGAACGATTATACAGATCTTGTGATGAGATATCTGCCATAGTTTACATTGCTTCTGGAATATCCTAAAAATAACTTGGATTATTATTATGCTTCTCTGATTGCGCACTATATTATTCATTATAATTTTTTTCTATGAGAGAAAACATGGGTCCATCCTTCAAAGAGCACAGCTTCATCGAAACAACGACGATTGATTTCCAAAAGTGCACTAATAATTTGGAAAAGAACTGGTATAAAACCACTGTTCATACCTAACTCTTAAAGGCGACACCCTCCTTTGTAGAGAGGCATTACGAACGCCAAAGTTGATACACTCCCCTCGTAAGGGTACCTGACGTGATTCCATACAGTCACAATGTCGACTAATTTTCCGACAGTTTGATTGAATGATCGATAAAAGTCGTTTTTCATGAAGAAATGTTCAAAGAAGAATGAAAATACGATCTGTATTTGAAATTAATATTCATGAAAACTTATCTTGGACATCTCCATATTCCATTAATCTGCCTGACGGGAGCTCCTAAGTGAATGGTCCTGAACGATTATAGAGATCTTGTCAGTACATGATCTTGAATGATGAGATATCTGCCATAGTTTACATTGCTTCTGGAATATCCTAAAAAAGAACTTGAATCAGTATTATGCTTCTTTGATTGCGCACTATATTATTCATTATAGTTTTTTTCTATAAAAGAAAACATGGGTCTATCCTTCAAAGAGCACAGCTTCATTGAAACAACGACTGTTGCTTTCCAAAAGTGCACAAATAATTTGGAAAAGAACTGGTATACAACCACTGTTCATACCTAACTCTTAAAGGCGACTCCCTCCTTTGTAGAGAGGCATTACGAACGCCAAAGTTGATACACTCCCCTCGTAAGGGTACCTGACGTGATTCCATACAGTCACAATGTCGACTAATTTTCCGACAGTTTGATTGAATGATCGATAAAAGTCGTTTTTTATGAAGAAATGTTCAAAGAAGAATGAAAATACGATCTGTATTTGAATTTAATGTTCATGAAAACTTATCTTTGACATCTCCATATTCCATTAATCTGCCTGACGAATGTAGAGCTCCTGAGTGAATGATCCTGAACGATTATAGAGATCTTGTGAATACAGGATCTGAAATGATGAGATATCTGCCATAGTTTACATTGCTTCTGGAATATCCTAAAAAAAACTTGCATTATTATTATGCTTCTCTGATTGCGCACTATATTATTCATTATAATTCACATCTATGAAAGAAAACATGGGTATATACTTCAAAGAGCACAGCTTCATTGAAACAACGACTGTTGCTTTCCTAAAGTGCACAAATAATTTGGAAAAGAACTGGTATAAAACCACTATTCATACCTAACTCTTAAAGGCGACACCCTCCTTTGTAGAGAGGCATTACGAACGCCAAAGTTGATACACTCCCCTCGTAAGGGTACCTGACGTGATTCCATACAGTCACAATGTCGACTAATTTTCCGACAGTTTGATTGAATGATCGATAAAAGTCGTTTTTCATGAAGAAATGTTCAAAGAAGAATGAAAATACGATCTGTATTTGAATTTACTGTTCATGAAAACTTATCTTTGACATCTCCATATTCCATTAATCTGCCTGACGAATGTAGAGCTCCTAAGTGAATGGTCCTGAACGATTATAGAGATCTTGTCAGTACATGATCTTGAATGATGAGATATCTGCCATAGTTTTCATTGCTTCTGGAATATCCTAAAAAAAGAACTTGAATTAGTATTATGCTTCTTTGATTGCGCACTATATTATTCATTATAATTTTTTTCTATAAAAGAAAACATGAGTCTATCCTTCAAAGAGCACAGCTTCATTGAAACAACGACTGTTGCTTTCCAAAAGTGCACTAATAATTTGGAGAAGAACTGGTATAAAAACAATTTTTATACCTAACTCTTGAAAGTTACACTGTCCTTTGTAGAGGTATTACGAACGCCAAAGTTGATACACTCCTCTCGTAAGGGTACACTCACAATGTGAAATAATATTTCGACTGTTTAATTGAATGATCGATAATGGTCGTTTTTTATGAAGAAATGGTCGAAGAAGAATAAAAATACGATCTATATAATATCGATTAGAAAGTAACACCAACTTTTATTCTCAAATGGAACACCCTGTATTTCATTACATTTATAGATTCTCTCTGAAGAGCTGATTTCATCAATCTATCACACTTGAGGGGTCTAGTGGGGATGATTACAGAAATATAGGGTGGTCAATATCGAGATTTTTCAACTTTAGGATATTTTTGTGTCGAAACCATTCATTATCGGTCAAAACGATTTGATTTAATTCACTATTTACTGACATTTGATTGAAACAGTTACAGGGTGATCAGAATTCTGGATCATGAACTACCATGTATTTGTTCTAATTAAATGACAGTAGATAGTAAATCGAAAGATAGGAACACGGAAACCGTTTTGACTAATGATGTATAGTTTCGACACAAAAAATACTAAAATTGAAAAATCTCGATTCAGAGCACCCTTTATCTCTGTAATCGTTTCCGCTACACCACGAGTTTGGTGTGATATATTGATGAAATCAGCACTCCAGGGAGAATTTAAACATGTAATGAAATACCAGGCGTTTCTCTAGAAAAATCATAGTTGCTACTTTCTAGTAGCAGCGGCATCACCGCATTGTTGAAGATATTCCAGACGTGTAGATTATATACATAAATACCATAAGATTTTCAGATTCATCAGTTGCTTGGTTTCCCAGAAACTTCTAATCAACGTTCATCGTGAAAAACCCTGTATACTATTTCGCGATATGCACTAGATTCTTGCTTGAAACTGATACGAGCATTTTAAACAGACCGACCGTTGGCGATGACATCTAACACAAGACTGACACGATTCACCACCTTGTCCCGAATGACAAATTAGTTGCGTCACCTTTCTATCGCTATCAATTCCCGAACAAGTATTCATCATTCCGTGCTCTTTAAACAATACAGGGTGATTCACGATGAGCGTTAATTAGACGGTTCTGGCTAACCAAGCCACAGATGAATCTGAGAATTTGATGGTTAGTATAACTCGATACGATCTACACATCTATATTGAACTATACTATGCGGCGTTGCCGCTTCTACTAGAAAGTAGCAACAAGTTTGATTTTTTCAAATGAATACCCTGTTTTTCATTGCATTTTCAGATTCTTCCTGAAGAGCTGATGATGAATGTATCTTACTTGGGGTCTAGCACGAAAGATGACAGAGATATAGGGTGTTCAAAATCGACATTTGATACTTTGTGTCGAAACTATTCATTTTTTGTCGAAACGGCTTACATGACCCTATCCTCGATTCATTATTAACTTACAATCAATTGGAACATATACAGGGTGATCAGAATTATGAATCTACCCTATATTTGTTGCAATTAAATGTCGGTAGATAGTAAATCAAAAGTTGAGATAGGGACATGAAAGCCGTTTCGACCAAGAATGAGTTTCGACAAAAAAAATCCTATTGTAGAAATATCTCGATTTTGGGTACCCTATATCTCTGTAATCATTTTCGCTAGACCCCAAGTGTGGTGCATTGATGAAATCAGCTCTTCAAGGAAAATCTAAAAATGCTATGAAATACAGGGTGTTCCATTTGAAAAGTCATAGTTGCTGCTATTTTCTAGTAAAAGTGGCGACGCTGCTTCGTTTACAATATTTTAGATGTGTAGATCATGTAAAATTCATACATACCATCAAATTTTCAGATTCATCTGTTGCTTGGTGTGCAAGAATCGTCTAATTGAAGCTAATTGTGAAAAACCATGTATACTATTTCGCCAGATGCACTAGTGACTAGATTCTTGCTTGAAACTGATACGAGCAATCTTAAATAGACCGTTCGCGATGACATCTAACATAAGACTGACATGAATCACCACCTCGTTCCGAATGACTAATTAGTTGCGTCAACTTTCGATCCTATAAATTCCCGAAACAAGTATTTATCCATGACTAATAATAATAATGATGATATTTGAATTACACTGGGTGGTGAGATGGACTACATATATACAGGGTCATTTGATACTGTGAAAACTACGTTATCTGTTTTCACTGCCCTGATATCGATCAGTTGTGAAGGTTCAAATAAAGCTCAGTTAAAACAGAATTATATTAATAACTTGACATTACATCGCTAAATTATGTGTCATTATTTTTTACTACTCCTGTCTAGGATACTGGGTGATTTTCAACAGATACGATCATCTCAAATTAAATGCGGACTTTTGTTCAACTTTCTAATTCCTGAAGAAATACAGTTTTTATCCTATCAACTTATAACTCTGAGTTATTATTGAAAATCACATTTGAGGGATTCCTAGATGTATATTATAAAATTACATACACGGTGTTATATTTTTTTTCGGATCAACAACCATTGTATTGAAAAAGAATCATACTCCAATCTGAGACATAATGAAGCTAAGTTTAACTACTCACTTTTGCACAGCGCGTTAAATAGGATGAAATAGTAAATTTTGTTTTTTCTCTATAATGATCAAGCCATCAGCCATCAGTATATGAAATTAGTAGTTGAGCTTAATTTTTTCTGATTCAATCAAATCCTATGTCGCATATGAAGATCTTCACTGTACTTCTCTTTTGATCCTAAATAGCATTTGATATTGGATGGACCCCACACAATGGGCCTAAAAAGTTGTACCCCTGAGGTACAAGCAAGTAATTATACATTTAAAAAGTGATAAGGTTGAGTGAATAAATTGAATTGCATTGCTTTTCATCCCCGAAGGCATCAAACAAAGCTTAACTACGATGCCCCCAATACTTAGGTATCTTGTCATTCTCAGAATTTTCTAAGGGCTATATTGAATATTGTGGAATTCCTAACCTAGCCTAACCTAACCTGACCTGGCGGTGCAATAGTATAATATTCAATAATATTGAAAGTTGCAATAGATAATATCAATCACAATGAATAAAGAGAAAAATGTTAAATTATTCTTCTTCTTTTTAATTTTTTATCCGCACTGCAGTGCGTCACAGCATATAGAGAGAGAAGAAAAGAGAGATAGGTGTTAAGTAGAGAGAGATAGAGAACCAATTTCATCTGAACACTGATAGGTCGAACATTTTCACAATTTTTATTCAACATGAATGGAAATGAAACAAATAAATATCAACTACAATGAAAATTGAGTATCATATTAATATGAATCAAATAAATTCATACAACATTTTCATCCAACTACCATAGAAATTCACCAAATGTCAGTGTCAATTTCGATTACTTATTCCATTAGAATTTCTTGGAACGTTGCATAGCAATAAACTTTTTCTGCCTAGGCAGTAAAAGTACATCTTTTCTACCTGTTGAACGGCAGTAAAAAGCCACTATCCCTGCCGCTTTGGAAAAAATAAATATTTAATATTCACCTTTCCATAGAGGTTTAAAAAATTTATAATGGAGTTTTCTATATGAAAAAATTGTCGCGGACATCAATACTCAAAAGTGAATAACCCTGTTTATATAATTTTCCCCTTATGAATGTGGGAAATTGAAAAAACGAATCGTCCTGCCTCAGAAGATTTCTCAGGAATGGATAATTTGGCTAAAAATGAATTAGTCCAGTACTTCTCGAGAACACTGTATAATATGTTATCAATCGCTCTTGTAAGAAGATTAATTCTCACTATGGATTGCTAGATTTTAATTTTTTGTTCTTTGGAGTAGGTATACAAATAGATTTATTTTTTCGCAAAGTGCCTATCACGTGTAAGAAAAGAATAAAAAACTCACCAGTATGAAATCTGCATGTAGTCCACAAATGAATTATCAAAACATTTCACAAAACACCGACACCGACCAAGTAGGTATCATATCAATTCATGTACCATAAAAATGCAATACAAATTTTATTCAGGATGAATGAAAATGCACAAAATATCAACGACCATGGAAATTGAAGAATAATTTTCGTAATCACCAAATACATTTGTATACAATTTTTATTCAACTACCATAGAAATTGCGATGTATCTCATTTTGATTCATGTATCATGAAAATTGAATAAAATTTGTATTCAACATGAATGGAAATGAAACATGAATATCAATTACAATAGAAATTGGGTATCATAAAATGTCAAGAATGAACTATGTCATGAATTCCTCCTATTATTCAAGGACTGGACTCAAACATCTTTTGGATAACTTGATTATAATTGGTGACTTGACAAGCTTGCTGGAAATGGAAGATTATCTAACCAATAACGAAACAGCATTAAAACTGACGTCTCTGAATTACTGTTAATAAAAATTAAAAAAGTCCATACTTTTTCAAAACACTTGTATCTTCTCTTGAAAATAAGATATTGACGTAAATCTGGGACTATTGTGTTAAGAAGGGCCGAAATAGGATCACACTTCAATTCGGAACATGATGAAGCAGATGGTTGAAGAATGGTTCTGAATTATTCTTGATAAAAATGAAAAAAAAAAACTTAGTTTCTTAAAACCCTTGTATCTTTTCTTGAGAAGTGGATATCAACGTGAATAAAAAAAATATTGTGTTAAGAAGGGATCGCACATCAATCGAAAACATGATGAAGTCAAGTTTAACAACTCACCTTTACCACAGGGTGTTGAGAAGTTGAGGGTGACAGAGTAACTTTTGTTTTTGCCTGTATAAGTATCAAGCCACCAGCTTCTCTTAGAAACTAATACTCAGACCAACATTCTAGAACATGAATATAAAATTTGGTCAAAACTTCACCAAAATCGGACAAGAATTAAAAATATTACAGTGCGAACAACTTGGCTGAATTTTTGTTCATATGAATTTTCTTAAGGTTCATCACCGAGAACACCGTCGAAGAGAAGATCGTGGAAAGGGCCGAAGTGAAACTGCGATTGGACAAGCTGGTCATTCAGCAGGGTCGGCTGGCCGACTCGAAGGGCCAGTCGCTGAACAAGGACGAGATGCTGAACATGATCAGGCACGGCGCCAATCACGTGTTCGCCTCGAAGGACTCCGAAATCACCGACGAGGATATCGATAGCATCATGCAAAGGGGAGAAATGAAGGTGAAAACATTGTTGGTTGAATTGAATTGCGTGTTTTGTACTTTTAGTTAGGACCACAGAACTCATAACGTCTATATCTTACGACTAGAGCGCGCGATCCTATGGTTTCATACCGAAGGAACCCCTATTAACACAAATTCTTCATAAGCAATTAGGACCGAAAAAATCTAAAAAAATATGGAATCGAAAGGTGGTTGAATGATGATTCTATTAAAAACATTCAAAAAAAAAATAGTCCACTTACCTATTGGAAATTGACACCTTCAGTAAAATATCAGATGGACACTTTAAAATCAAGATGCAATTTCAACTCAAAATTGCATGCTTGAATGGAGTGTGCACATCGTTAAATTGAGAATATATAATGCACTTTTGAATTGAGATTGAACACATTCAAACTGATAATTTACACTAGCATTAAGATTGTTCACTTCAAAATTACATTCAATCAATTCCTGAATAAACACGTTCACATTACAAATGTGCATTTCTTTGAGAGTGTACACTTTCATTGATATTGAATTCATTTCATATTGATTGTAAACAATTTCAAGTAATAAACATTCAATATTTATTATACACTCGGGATGAGAGTAAAAACATCCCAATAAATATCTGAAGATACACACTGGAATTGGTTATGAAAATTGTTGTTGATAATCAATCAACTTTATTAGTCCCAAGAAACAACATTTGTTTATAGCAGGGAACATGGTGAATATATAAATATATTTTACAAAATAAAGAAAGTCTCACCTTGAAAACGAAAAATATAAACTTTCAAATCAGATTTGTACACTTTGGGAAGTGGCAGATTCAATTTCAATGCAGATTTCAATTGTTAGTGTTAATTTGCAAGCGGAGAATAAATAGTCTCAATTCGGAAATAAATAATTTCAAATTGATAATGTTTACTCTGAAATGGAGAATAACAAGCTGAAATTGAAGGTCATAATGCGAGGTATTCCTATTGGAGCAAGTTTGAATCAATGTAGGACATGAATAAAGTTATTTCAATCAATCCATGAACTGAATCACTGACTTGATTCATATGAATAATTCGTGCCAAACCTGCTTTAGTTAGTCGAAAACTTGACTTTCCTTCAGAATTTGAAAAATATTGGTCCTCGGAAAAACCGAATTGACCTTTAGTTTTTCTGTCGCAGACCGCCGAACTGGCCCAAAAGATGGAATCCCTCGGCGAATCCTCGCTGCGCAACTTCACCGTAGAAACGCCCACAGAGTCCGTGTATCAGTTCGAGGGCGAAGATTATCGCGAGAAGCAGAAGTCTATCGGGCTCAGCAACTGGATCGAGCCGCCGAAAAGAGAAAGGAAAGCCAACTATGCCGTTGACGCCTATTTCAGGTACTAAATACAAAAAATGATAAATTTGTGAATATAATATCAAACTTGAGTTCATTATCATATTATCATATAACCATATAAATCCAGTCCACTATCAATCAAGCGTGAAACATTGGTCCTTCGAGCCGATTCAATTCAAATCGAACCTTCTACACTGCCAATTTCTTCACAAAGGATACAGAGCAGCATTCAAGACTTCTGGCAAGTAGCTAAAGCTTTCAGAGGTAGCAACAAGCAGTTCAAGGGAACAAATGTATTGATGATTCTTTGCAGAAGTCCTGTGGTGATGGACATTTGCTAAAAGTATTGGTCGTTCTTTGATTTTTTGCTAGCGCTCGAATTTCCTTTGCTACTTCTTAGAATCCCTTCGAATTTCTGGTTAGATCTTGAAATTTCTTGGTAGTTAATCTACTGTAGAAGTCCATGTTATCTCAAAGTGGAGTGAAGTAGTTGAAATATAATAAAAAGTCTCCAATTCGTCTCCCACAACGTTAAATTACAAATTCAAGAATGGGGGGAAATGTTTCGTATCCAGAAGGTATCCATCATCAGCCAGAAAGAAATTATTCTACAAAGAACAACGAACCACTAGGTAGGTATATCAAGTAACAGATTGGTACTCACGTGGAGAAGAAAAGGGCAAAAATAAAATTTGACGTGAAGTAAACAGGTATCATTATTCAAATTGGAGCCCTGTACTCCAGATATTTGCTCAACGACCCCGTACATTCGGTAGCAGCAACCAATCACAAAATGATTGAAAAAATCCGACAGAAACATGCTGATAATATTGATAAAATCAATCGATTTTTCCTATGAAAATCTCATGTCTCAAAGATGCCAGGCCTGCTCGTTCGTACCGCTGAACCCGCCAAAGATTCCCCTCCAATAGTTGTCTCTGTTCATGGCATGATGTAAACAGAGAAAGTAATAGAAACAAATCAATTTCAGCAGGCAGAGCAAGCACAAACGTCTTGGTAGTTTATGGAATTTCTCGCTATTCCCCTAATATCCTTGCTATCTCTCCGAAATCCTTGCTATTTCTCCGAAATCCTTGCTATTTCTTCGAAATCCTTGCTATTTCTCGGGAATCCTTGTTATTGGAGTTTCTTGGCCGCCAGAAGCTGAGCAACTGGATCGAGCCGCCGAAAAACGAAAGGACGGGCAACCATGCTTTCGACGTCTATTTAGGGTACGAATTTATCGTTGACTGTGAAGTTTGAATTGGAATTCATCGGATTTATTGGTGATTCTTTGGAGTGTCGTGCGGGGATAGAAATTGTATATTCATTGATTTCTTGTCTTTATCACCCCAAGGAACATATCTGTTTATAATAGGGATACATTCCACTCAGTGGAAACAATTTCATATTTTTTCTTCGATTCTTAATAGCGCTAGAATTTCCTTGTGTGTTTCTTGGAATTTCAAAATGGCTAATTCCACATTGATAATCATCTAGATGCACGTAAAATTCCACGAGGATTCCGAATCCAGACATATTCTTGACCTGGATTCGAAAGATAATGTTGTTTTGGAAGTCCTTCCATAGAATATCCTGCAAAACCTTTTGCTAAATATTATTCTTCGTCGAATTCTTTCAGAGAGGCTTTGAGGGTATCTGAACCGAAAGCGCCCAAGGCTCCCAGACCTCCCAAGCAACCCATCGTCCAGGACTTCCAGTTCTTCCCGCCAAGGCTGTTTGAACTGTTGGACCAAGAAATATACTTCTATCGGAAATCGCTCGGTATGTACGATTTATGGAAAAGGTTTCGATAAATTTCATTTTATTCTTATACAGTGTGCATTGAAGATTCTACTCTAGAAGTGTCTGATTAAATCCTAGGAAAACGATGTACGATGTACCCACTGTTGCTTTTAATACTGATTTATTTATATGTTATGTATATTACCTTCTAAGAGCACAACATAATATGCGGTGAATTATTGAGAGTTAATTCATTGATCGTTACGAAAATTGTTTGAAATTGTTTGTTGCGTTTCCGTTTGTTGATATCGACTTGTTCCAAATGATTGAGTTTCATTCCTCTTTTTTCTAATTGTCTAATTTTGAAATCTATAATTTTCTCATCGCTTGCCGGTCGTGGGTTCAATTGCAAACGACTGCAGAAATGTTTCTGATTGCCCAAGAATGTGTTTGAGATCACACGTTAAGGTAAGACCCCCGTCGTTCCTTGCTCGCACAAGTCTCTTGAATACATCTGGGGGTTGCTCGTGAGGGGGCAACCTAATAACGGATAGAACAATTTGAAAAATAAATTTTTGAAACAATTTTAGAATCAAAATTTGGCAAAAAATCAACTTGTTGCGTTTTTTTGCATCAGAATTTACATATTGTGCCACCGTTCCGGAAATGAGGATTAACTAAACTGACCACTGATTTATAGATTCAATGACGCACACAAGGTTTTTGGAAGACGTAACACGACGAAATTCGAAATAAATGACAATTCCATGATTTATAATAGAGTGTCCTATTATTTGAAACGTTATTCTATAGATTCTGAGTGAAAACAGCGCATTTCAACTCCTTTCCTCCTCTAACCAAGGAAGATGGAACACTAGCCACAACTGTCCAGGAGGAAGCCAACATTTTTACGCATTTATTTGCTGGAAATTCCACTCTGGATTCCTCGGGAAGGCAATCTCCAAACATAACGCCAATTGACAGTCATATGCCCGAGATCACCTTTCGCCAATGTACTATAAGAAAGATTTTATTGGGTCTCAATACCAACAAAGCTTGTGGCTCCGACGGAATCCCACCGATTGTTCTCAAGAAATGTGCTCCCATACTAACACCTCTTCTCTGCAAGTTGATCAACTACTCTCACAAATTGGGGATATTCCCGTCCAACTGGAAAATTGCAAGAGTACAACCAGTTCCTAAAAAAGGCAAAAAGACCCTACCTAGCAACTACAGGCCGATCGCACTGCTATCTATTATTTAAAAGATTGATTGATTGTGTTTATTACCCCAATAAACATTATTGTTTATAATAGGGATATATAGAACAAAACATACAGGTAACATAATAAATCGAAACAATAATAATTGTGCAATTATTGTTTTCATGGAGAAAGCTATCAAAATCGAGCTCATGAAATACCTGAAACATTCAGGTATTATCAACGATAGGCAATATGGCTTCCGTCATCAGAGATCAACTGGTGACCTGCTCGCTTACTTCTCACATATATGGCAGCAATCTATTGAAAAATATGGTGAAACGTTAGCCGTGGCACTTGATATCTCCAAGGCATTCAATCGAGTCTGGCACCACGGACTCCTCACCAAGCTTCCATCCTATGGCTTGCCTCCCAAGCTATGTTCTCTGCTAGATAGTTTTCTCTCAAACAGGTCTCTCCATGTAGTGGTCGACGGAGTTTCATCTGAATCTCTTATCATAAATGCTGGTGTTCCTTAAGGATCAATTCTAGCACCAACACTATTTCTACTCCATATCAACGATTTGTTGAAAGCAACTTCATGTCCAGTATACAGCTTCGCGGATGATAGTTCCCTTCATACCGCCTTCTCTCACAGGGCTCCAATACCAGCCAGGCAAATCAGAAACGAACGAGGGAGAAATGTTGACAACATAAATATGGACTAGGCAACAATTCTCGAATGGGGATCCAATAACTTGGTAGATTTCAATGCAAACTAAACACAAGCATGCCTTTTCTCTAGAAAAACCGATCTCACTATGCCCAACATAAGCTTGTCATACATTTGAAGACATCCATTTCGATGCTTGGTATTACTATCAGCAATAACCTTCCTTGGGAAAATCACGTGAGATCAATTGCTGAAAGTGCATCCCAAAAACTTGGTTTTCTGTTTCGGGCCAGGAGCTATTTCACTTCCAGTCAGCTGATCCGACCTGTCCTGGAATACTGTTTCCATATTTGGAGTGCAGCACCCAAACATACCCTGAAACTGTTGGATTCTGTCCAAAAAAGGGCAATTCGTCTCGTGGGTGATGCATCGCTCACAAACTCACTCCCTTCTCTGGAACACTGTAGAAAAGTTGGTTATCTGGCTCTATTTCATAGATATTTTCATGGACGATGCTCTTCTGAAATATCAACAATTGTTCCTCCCTTGGCAGTCCCCGCGAGATTAACCCGTCAAGTTGAGGCTTCGCACCCGTGGTCACTTTGAAGACCTGCAGAACATATCTTTCCAAAGACTCGTTCATCCAACGAACAGCGAGGCTCAGGAACACATTGCCAAGGGAGGTGTTTCCCGAGGCATACCTCCAGAAATTCAAGAACACCAATTCCTACCTTATTTCTCTTGGTTCTCACGATGTTCTCTGAACATTACAGGATATTCCTTTTCGTGGGAACCAAAACATAAAAAATAACAAATTTCTCTCAATCGTCTCGCAAATACTCGCGTTACATCACATTATTGAATCTATGAATCAGGGGCGAGCACAGGTAATGGAACATGTCATGTAATTAGGAATCTTGTGAACAGCTCATCGTTTGTGAATCGATCCACATAAATTGACTAACCTACAACTACTATTTAATTACTTCGGTTAGGCTACAAAGTGCCGAAGAACCCGGAACTGGGCCCGGACGCTGCCAAACAACAGAAGGAGGAACAACGCAAGATCGACGAATCCGACCAGCTGTCTGAGGAGGAGCAGCTGGAAAAGGAGCGGCTGCTGCAGCGCGGCTTCACCGCTTGGAGCAAGCGCGATTTCAACCAGTTCGTCAAGGCGAACGAGAAGTACGGCAGAGACGACATCGAGAATATCGCTCGGGATGTCGAGGGAAAAACACCCGAAGAGGTGGGTTTCCATATTGTCTATTTCTCTATGCTCTGCTTGAAATTTCTTGATTATATGTGTGCTCACTTCAAATATTAGAAAAAGTTGCCGTCCTCGTTTGAGGACGCTGGGCATACCGGAAGACAGCATATTGAATTTAGCGAGAGACGTGGAATAAAAGTTTTACGAACAAATGGTTTTTTTTCAAGTGTGACCAAATTATCACATTATGTATGATCATGGCTATATTATGAATAATTTTCGAGTTCTCAGTTTTTTTGCTTCTCATCGTTTGATTTTGGCTATATTCGGATGTGGAAAACTTATGGTTACCAAAATGTATACTGACTCGTCAAATATTTGAAAAAGTTGCCGTCCTCGTACAAGGAGGCTGGGCAGACCACAAGATGACATCTTGAATATAGCGCAGGACGTGTAAGATGAGACTCCCGAACAGGTAATTTTTTGTGATGGGGCCCAAAGGATCACGTTTCTATGATTATGGCTTTATTTTGCCATGGAAAACTTATTAATATCAAGAGATTCGCTGATTTCCTTCAAAAAAATTACCGTATATTTTTGAGGATGCTGGGACATATCGTTTTTATACTGACTTCAACCAGTTCGTCAAGGCGAACGAGTAGTACGGCAGAGACGACATCGAGAATATCGCGCGGGATGTCGAGGGAAAAACACCCGAAGAGGTAGGTGTACGAATTATTGTCGATTTCTGTATTTTTTGCTTCTAATTTCTTGACGGCTCAATTTCTATGTGGAAAACTCATAAATATCATGATGTTTGCTTATTGTCTTCAAATATTAGAAAAAGTTGCTGTCCTTGTTTGAGGACGCTGGGCATAACTGGAAGACGGCATCTTGAATTTAGCGCGAGACGTGAAAGACAAGACTCCCGAACATGAGGTTTTAATGTGAGGGTTCCCGAATTATTACGTTATGTATGATTATGGCTATATTATGGAGAATTTTCGAGTTTTCGGTTTTTTGCTACTAATTATTTCATTTTCGCTATATTTGGGTGTGGCAAACTTATGGTTACCAAAATGTATACTGATTTTCGTCAAATATTTGAAAAAGTTGCAGTCTTCGTATAAGGACGCTGGGCAGACCAGAAGACATGGAAGATGAGACTTCTGAACAAGTTTTTTTTTGTGATGCGACCCAAATGATTACGTTCCAAATGATTACGTTGTGTATGATTATGGCTATATTTTGACATGGAAAACTTATAAATAAAAGTTTCGCTGATTTCCATAAAAAAAATCCGTTTATTCTTGAAGACACTGGGACATATTGTTTTTTTACTATTTATATGCGACATACAGAATATTGCGCGGGATGTCGAGGGAAAGACGCCCTAAGGGGTGGGTGTCCAAATTATTGTCGATTTCTCGTTTTTTTTTTTCTTTGAATATTTGAAAAACTTGCTGTCCTCGTATGAGTACGCTGGGCACTGCGAATATTTGAAAAACTGCTGTCCTTATTTGAGGACGCAATGACAGATCGTTTTTTAAATGACTTCAATCAGTTCGTCGAGGTGCTGCTAATGGAATTGAACACCTCAAATTATGCATTATCTTGTGAACATTTTCTTATTTCAGTAATGAGCGTGACAATTCCAAAAATGTCAAAACCTAACCGAGAAAACAGATGGTGCAATATGTTTCTCACCACAGGAATAAATTTAAAAATTTTCCTTCCAACCGGGAGGCCTTTGAAATTTTTGAAAAATTGTCCTGATTATCGTCCTGTAGAATCTCATCCTGGAGAGATGCAATTATCATTTCCATAGGTTGAATAGGCAATGAAATGAACATCCACAAACTGAAAAGAAATTTGAAATCAGTTGAGACAGTCGAAAGTCATAAGGAATTCAGATTGATCAAAATACTCTGATTTCAATCAAATGCCTAGTCCTAAGAGCCATCTAGTGGCAAAAGTGCAAAGATGTATAGATATATTGTTTAAACAACCATATCTTGCGAGTACGTCAAATATATGTCCCTACGTCCATACTACAGCGCAACACCGGAATTCTAACAGTGGTTTAATGTATCACCGACAGATGGTGAGGAACCTAAAATCTCAATACTAAGAGATTTTAGTAAAATTTCGTGAATCGACTGTCAACTGGTGCAAGACAGTGTTTTTCTGCTTTGCCAAGCCTCATCAGTTGCACTTGGCCAGCTGACAGTCGATTCACGAAATTTTACTAAAATCTCTTAGGCTTGAGATTTTAGGTTCGTCACCATCTGTCGGTGAGACATTAAACCACTGACAGGATTATGTGCTAAGATTTTGTACCTTTTAGGAACACCCTGTATATGTGGAAAAAACTCTAACCCGAGTAGAATCGGTCAATACATAAAAAAATTCATGAGTTTTTGTTTATATTTCAGCTTTTATTTTCGAATATCTGGCTCTGTCAGTGAGACATTGAACCAATGACAGGATTATGTGCTAAGATTTTGTACCTTTTAGGAACACCCTGTATATGTGAAAAAAACTCGAACCCGAGTAAAATCGGTCAATACATAAAAAAATTCATGAGTTTTTGTTTATATTTCAGCTTTTATTTTCGAATATCTGGCTTTCAAGGAAATGAAAGCTCTTCACCTTAGATTGTTGTTTCATTACATTGTAATAAAATATATTTCCTTGAATTTTTTTCGAATTTTGTCTCCTTGATGATGAAAATCATTTATCTATTTCATTCTTTGCTATAAACATTACATTGCATCTCATATAAATGTGAATATAATCATTAACATTTACAATGGAATAACATGAATAATCAGACAGATTCATATCTGGTATGAGATTATTCATGCGTTCTCAAATCAAATTATAGTTATTGAAATAAACAACAGAATAAAAAAAAAAATAAAACAAAAAGCTCATGAAAAGTACATTATGACATGATGAAATAAATTAGTCAATGAGAAATCATTCACTCAGGTTTGATTTTCTCTTTGCAAGAGGATATGTTTCCTGACTTTGATTTTGAATTGGGTGATATTTGTGCAACTTTTGATATCATCAGGTAATTCATTGAATTTTGAGATAGCTCCGTGAGTTAACTTTTTTTGACCAAGTGTAGAATGAGCAGCATCAAGATGAAACAAGTCATATTGTCTAGTATGATGTTCATGGATTTGAGAATTTCTTACCGATATGTAGTTAGATTTGAGGTGTTTGTTGATAATATCAGAAGAAATTTTGAGAGTATTTATCAGATAGTGCTCTTCCAAAGAAAATGTATTTGTTTCTTCATAAAGTTGATTTGATGGGGTGTCATAGGGAAGACGATACAGTACTTTTAATGCTTTTTTATATAGTACAGATATTTTGTTGAAATTATTCTTGAAACATGAACCCCAAATATTTATGAGATAGTTCATTTTACTAAGGATGTGAGAGTATAGAACGGTATTTGCTATATTTGGGAGAAGTTTTGGACATCTTCTTAAGGCACCAACTATGGGGGCAATTATTTCTTTGAGCATGCCAATATGCTTGTTCCATGTTAACTCTTCATCAATCCAAATACCAAGGTATTTGGTATAGGCAATTTGTTTCAATCTTTCATTTTTCATTCTGATATTCAAATCAATATTTTGTTTATTTCTTTGATGGAAAATTATATATTGGGTCTTATTAGAATTAAGGGAAAGAAGATTGGAGTATAGCCATTCTTCCATTCTCTTCATATCCTCATTTATGTTGTTTTGTAAAATTACAGGTGATGGAATATTCTGCTGTATTTTGGGAGAGATGTCACGAACTGCAAGATATAGAAAGGATCATGGCGCAAATAGAAAGAGGGGAAGCGAAAATTCAGAGAAGGGCTGGAATCAAAAGGGCTCTGGACGCTAAAATGGCCAGGTAGTTTCAAATTACATGATTTGACCCAAAATACCAATGAATTCAAAAATTCTAGTCGCAAACTGGACGGTAATGCCTATTTTCAGCAATTAATTTGAAAAAATGCAAATTTTGACATGTCGCGAAAGTCATGTGAAACGCCCAAGACGAATTTCGAAATAGATTATTATTGAGAAGTTTTCGAATATAATACCAACTTTCTGAAAGTCACTTTATATGTTATGTTGCGTGATATCCCTATTATAAACAACAATGATTCCTAGGGATAATGAAGACAATCAATCAATAAATGAATTCCAGGTATCGTGCCCCCTTCCACCAGCTCCGAATCTCGTACGGCACGAACAAGGGCAAGAACTACATGGAGGACGAAGACAGATTCTTGGTGTGCATGCTTCACAAGCTCGGCTTCGACAGGGAGAACGTGTACGAGGAATTACGAGCGGCCGTCAGAGCGTCACCCCAATTCCGGTTCGATTGGTTCCTCAAATCCAGGACGGCGATGGAGTTGCAGAGGCGGTGAGTCGATGGAATTATGCGAAAAATCTCTACCATTCGGAATTTCGTCACTGCAAAATTGGGTCAATTCAAAATCGAGTCACTGCAAAAATCTAGTCACTGCAAAATTGAGTTGCTGTAAGAATCGAGTCACTGTAAAAATTGAGTCAATGGAAAAACTGTCACTGCATACTCGAGTCACTGCCTATAAAAAACGAGTCACTGTTAAAATCTAGTCTGTAAAACGGTGTCACTGCAAAATCGCGTCTTTTCAAAGTCCGCGATACTGCAAATTCGAGTCAATGCGAATATCGACTCTCCGTGATAATAGGATCACCGAAAAATCGGGTCAGCGCAAAAACCGAATCACTGCAAAGAACCAGTTTCCACAAAAATCGAGTCCTCCCAATAACCGAGTCACCGCATATACATATAGGCACTACTTAATCCGAGTCACTGCAAAATCCAAGTTGCCACAAAGACCGAAAAACTACACGAATAGTCACTGCAAAAACTGAGTCACAGCGAATAAATTGGCCGCAAATCACTATCAAAAATATGCCACTGTTTAACCCAAGTCACTGAAAATGAGTAACAGGAATAATTTAAAAATCAAGTCACTGCAAAAACCGAGTCACAGCAAAGAGTGAGTCACTACAAAAATCGAGCTATCACAAAAATCAAGTCATTACAAAAACCGAATCACCGACAAAATCGAGCCCCGCTAAAACCGAGTCAATGCAAAAACCGAGTCTGCAAAAACCGAGTCACCACAAGAATCAAGGCAGCGTAATAACCGAATCACCAACTACAACAATTGAGCCCTTGCTAATAGCCAGTCACAGCATAAATCGAGCCACTGCAAAAAATCAAGCCTCTGCAAAAAATCAAGCCACTGTGAAAATCGGGTCACTACAAAAAGCAAGTCACTGCAATATCAGATCGCAAAATTGAGCTATCTCTCTATCAGGTCATTGCAAGATTAAGTGACTGCAGGAATGAGTCATCGCAAATTCAACTTACTGCCAAAATCGGGTCAATATAAAAATCATGTCACTACAAAATCTAGTTATTTACGATAATCGAGTGGCTGAAAATTATGTCACTGCAATATCAGATCGTCGCAAATTTGAGTGAAGTCACTGCGAAATTGAAGCAACGGAAATCTGGATATTACAGAAATCGAGTCTTTGCAAAAATCGAGTCACCGAAAAAATAAAATCTTCGCTAAAATCGAGTCACCACAAAAATCTTGTCTCCGCAAAAACCGAGTTAACTCAAAAATTGAGTCACTGCAAAAATCTAGGCATCGCAAAAATCGCATCACTTTCTACAAAAATTGAGTCACTGCAAAAACAAAGTCAGCAAAGAAAACGAGTCACTACAAAAATTGAGTCACCGTAAGAATCGAGTCACTGGAAAAATTGAGTCAATGAAAAAACTGTCACTGCATAATCGAGTCACTGCCTATAAAAATCGAGTCACTGTAAAAATCTAGTCTGTAAAACGGTGTCACTGCAAAATCGTGTCACTGCGAAATCGCGTCTTTTCAAAGTCCGCGCCACTACAAAAATTGAGTTAATGCGAATATCGAGTGTCCGTGAAAAAAGGGACAACCGCAAAAATCGGGTCAGCGCAAAAAACGAGTCACTGCAATATCCAAGTTGCCACTAACACCGAAACACTACACAAATTAAGTCACTGCAAAAACCGAGTCACAGCGAATCAATTCGTCGCAAAAATATACCACTATATAACCCAAGTCACTACAAAATTCGAGTTACTGCAAAAACCGAGTCACTGAAAACGAGTAACAGGATTTTTTTGAAGAAAATCAAGTCACTGCAAAAACCGAGTTACAGCAAAGAGTGACTCTCTACAAAAATCGAGCTATCACAAAAATCAAGTCATTGCAATAACCGAGTCACCGACAAAATCGAGTCTCCGCTAAAATCGAGTCACTGCAAAAACCGAGTGCAAAAATCGAGTGCAAGAACCAAGTCACCACAATAATCAAGGCAGCATGAAGACCGAATCACCAACTACGAAAATTGAGTCCTTGCAAAAACTCAAGCATACATCGAGCCACTGTAAAAAATCGACCCTCTGCAAAAAAATCGAGCCAGTGTAAAAATTGAGCCACGGTGAAAATCGAGCCACTACAAAAAGTCACTGCAATATCAGATCGCAAAATTGAGCTATCTCACTATCAGGTCATTGCAAGATTAAGTGACTGCGGGAATGAGTCATCGCAAATTCAACTTACTGCCAAAATCGGGTCAATATAAAAATCAAGTCACTACAAAATCTAGTTATTCACGATAATCGAGTGGCTGAAAATTATGTCACTGCAATATCAGATCGTCGCAAATTTGAGTTAAGTCACTGCAAAAATGAAGCAACGGAAATCTGGCTATCACAGAAATCGAGTCTTTGCAAAAATCGAGTCACCGAAAAAATAAAATCTTCGCTAAAATCGAGTCACCACAAAAATCTTGTCTCCGCAAAAACCGAGTTAACCCAAAAATTGAGTCACTGCAAAAATCTAGGCACCGCAAAAACCGCATCACTTTCCACAAAAATTGAGTCACTGCAAAAACAAAGTCAGCAAAAAAATTGAGTCACTGCAAAAATTTAGTTACTGTAAAAATCGAGTCACTGCAATTAGCAAGTCACAGCAATATCAGGTCGCACAATTGAGTTATAAGATCAATGCAAGATTGAGTGACTGCAGGAATGAGTCATCACAAAATCAACTTACAGCTAAACTCCAGTCATTATAAAAATCAAGTCGCTGCAATATCTGATCGTCGTGATTGACAGTGAGTCAGTGGTCGACTGCAAAAAATTGATATTGTTTGAAATTTGGTCATTGCAAAATCAAGTTACTGCAAGATTCAAGTCACTGCAATATCGAGTCACTGCAATATTGAGTCACTGCAATATCGAGTCAAACATACATACTACAATAAGTATAAATAGATATTTCTACACCATGGTAGTATAGAAAATCATTATTACTCACAGATCAAGAATAATAATAATCTGCACTGCCGTGGTGTATTAATTTGTTGATTGTAATCAAAATATTAGGAATTATTTGATATACTTATCCAAAATGATGAAAACTATGAAAAATCCCCGATTCCGCAGTGATTTTATTTGCTATGTTACGCCATGAAAAATTGTCAGGTCGATTTCTTTTGGAATAGGTGCAACACCCTCATAACCCTCATAGAAAGAGAGAACGCCGAGCTCGAGGAGAGAGAAAAGAACGAGAAGAAGAAGAAAACGTCGAAAGTGTCGACGGTGATCGGCGCGCCGACGCCGACCGCCTCCAAATCGGCGCAGAAGAGGAAGAACGACGGTTCCCTGGGCGGGGGTGAGAAAAAGAAGAAGAAAAAATGAGGTCCGGTTTTCGAACATTTCTTTTAATTTATGATCGAACGAACGATTTCGTGAATGACATTATTAGATGATGTAGTGAATGTGTTTCAGCCGATATAATTTGACTCTTCTGGATTTTTGCTCTCATCGGTGAGGGTTTCTTTGCGTTTGTCTCTTCAACTTGAATAGTTTCAAATATTTCATTTAAATTGAACCCTTTTTCATTCCAACATTTACTGTTAGATATGTTGAGTATCACTTTTGTATTTGGTAATTGAATATAACAGATTCCAATTGAAGATGATTTCGATGATTTCATACCTAGAACTTTCTAATTTTTACAAGTGCATATAATTCCGGTTACAATGCTTTCGTTGCAAAAATATACAAAATGGCTCCTCCAAGATGGCGGATGGGTTTGTTAGTTCTCGTCGGATTCAACTGAATATTTATATCTTTGAGGGTTTGAGGTTGAGGAACGGTAAATGTTCAAGTCACTTTTTGATTATTCAAGGTGAAGGACATGTTTGTGATATCTTGTCCGATTAGTCTACCAATGTAGATTGGGGAGATCTATGAAGTTTGAAAATAGAAAAAGGTCTACCACTTTTCTTATATAATAATAATAGCGTCCTGTCGAATTCTCCAAATTTTTGGTATATTGTACTTTGCCAAGTGTGCAAATATGCCGAGTCCCAACTCAATACAATTACTTACTTACTTTTCAAAGTTGAGATATGCTGCATTTTTCTCAGCCCAAATATCTAAGAAGGAAAAAATAAATTCGATATTTTTCCAACCACTTTTTGGTTATGCCCTTGGATACAATAATCATGAAGATTCGATTCAAATGTGTTTTTTCTGTGACGGGAAAAAAAGTTTGGCATTTCATCTCTGTTGGCAGGTTATAAAATGTCACTTTTCATAATTTACTTATTTCCCAGGAAAAAAAAGTGAGTACTGTTTTCCTGGATATACAGTGTGTCCCACTTACCATGCTCACCATGGGTATCTTTTTAACGGTGAGAGATACGAGGTCGGTTGAATGACACCAAATGTGGAGTTTGTCATGGCCAACTATAATGTGAAAAAAAATTTCGATAAAATCTATTCCTTTTGGTTTTATACGCAAAAAACAGATTTTGATCATTTTCATGTCTCCTCCGTAACTTCTTTATTTATGAAAATATTCAAATAGGAATTTCACATTCTCATGGTAGTTTTTCAAAGTGATTTCGAAAAAAATATGAAATTTATACCAACTCTTCTAGAATTTGAGATATCAGCACCAACTTTAGTTTTTTAAATGTAGGTCATAGCTCACTATGACTTAGTCCATTCAAAATTGGTGAGTGGGGGTTTTTGAGGTCGGAGATCATGATTTTTTTTTTGTTAAAATTTATAAATTCAAGTTGGTGGCTTCCAAATAATTTTTTGTTTTGGTATAAATGACGATAACTCCGTTGTTATCAACACAAAACTATTACTGCGACATATCATCGGTAAGAGAAAAAAAAAGTTATTTGTGTAAATACTAGTTATTCTCTAATTATTGAGGATAATAGGTTATCTAAATGACACGCCATTTTGTGTGTTGATCAATGCTCTCTTTATTCCAATTAGAGATGTGTCGTTCCAATAAACATCGTTCCGATTCCTAACATCTGAACATCATGTTCCTAACATCCTTCCTTCAATAAGAAATATAATAACAATATGGTAACAACTAAATTTCATCAAAGATTCAGCCTCTGAGGTGGTTTTATTAATCTTCTAGAAGATGTACTCTTTTCATTATTCACTAGGTTCTCCTCAGAGTCTGTATCCATGACTGAATCAAAAGTATTATCAGCATTACTACTACTAGTTAAATCATTTTTATCATTGCTACTATCGAGTGTATCAAATGAGCTTTCTATAGTAGTGTTTTCAGATGCAGTACCTGTTTCTTCACTGTTTTCTGAATTATTATCACTATCACTATCTATCTCTAAGTAACATTTAAATTCTACTTCTTTTCTTCCTTTCATAACAGGGTTTGTTAAACGTGGAGTTGGATGAATATTCAATGGGATATTGATGTCAGATTTAATTGGTTTAATAAATCTTCGATTACGAATTAATACTGATCCACTATCCAGTTTAACTTTATAAGTTCTATGCCTAATATTTTCTAATACGATCCCAGGAGTCCAGACGCTCTTGGGCTTGACTTGAACATATACTCTAGTGTTCTCTTCCACTACAGGCAAATCTTTAACTGACTGATTATAATAATGTTTTTGCTGAATTCTCTGGTTTTGAATCATTTTATCTTGACTATATACTAATTTAGGTTTCAATGAATCAGTTGTACATGGAATAGTTGTCCTTAACTTTCTTGACATCAGAATTTCAGCAGGAGAAATATTTTTAGTTATAGGGGCGCTTCTTAAATGTAATAGTGCAAGGTGCAAATCTTTTTTTTCCTCTAATATTTTTTTAAACATTTTCTTGATGGTTTGTATGTGTCTTTCTGCCATGCCATTTGATTGGGCATAAGTCGGAGAAGACATAGTGTGGTTAAAATTCCATTCATTAGCAAATTTTTTAAATTGACTGGAGCTAAACTGGGGCCCACCATCTGAGACCAGTGTCAAAGGTATACCTAACAAAGAGAATCTGTCTTTCATTATTCCAATTATTTTGTCGCTAGTTGTATTTCTATGTAAATCCACCACATCCACAAATTTAGAGTAATAGTCAACGAGGAGGAGATATTTATGTCCATTTATTTCCAGAATGTCACACCCTACCTTGTTCCATGGAATTAAAGGGATGTCATGACTTTCTAATGATTCTTTTTGTTGTGAGTTTGCATATTTCAAACATAGGTGGCATTGCGAGATTTTTTGTTTGATTTGGTTTACCATTTGAGGCCAAAAAATTGATTCTTGTGCTAACTGAATACATTTTTTTACCCCCAGATGATTATAGTGAATACGATTCATCATTTCACTCCTCATACTGGATGGTATTAGAATACAATTACCTTTGAAAATTAAATCATCAATTATGCATAATTCACTCTTAAAAGGTGCATACTGTTTCAAATTTTCACTTAGTTTTTTATTGTTATTTGGCCAACCTGCTAAAATGACTTGTTTTAATTTTATTAATTCATTGTCTTGGTTCGTTTCTTTCTTTAATTCACATAATTTTTCTGGTGTTGCATTTACTTCCATCTCAACTAAACAAACTTGAGATTGAATTTCATTATCCAGACAACTGTTTTCTCTTCTGGCAACATATGCTCTTGAAAGAGCATCTGCTATCAGAAGTTCTTTTCCAGGTTTGTAGACCAAGTCTATTTCAAATTTTTGAATTTGCATTAACATTCGCTGAAGGCGTGCGGGGCATTTATTCAGGGGTTTTTTAAAAATGTTAATTAGCGGCAAATGGTCTGTTTCTACCGTTATTTTTTTTCCAAAAATATATTGGTAAAATCTTTCTAATCCAAAACAAATTGCAAGGAGTTCCTTCTCAATTTGCGCGTATCGCATCTGTGTCTCTGTCATAGCTTTTGATGCATATGCACAAGGGAGTCTGTTTTGCAGAAGTACTGCACCTAACCCTGATTTTGAAGAGTCAACTGAAACAACTATTTCCTTTGTAACATCAAAAAATTGAAGTACTGGCTTTGTACTTAGTTTTTGCTTCAGTTTTCTGAATGCATTTTGTTGCTGTTCTTTCCATATAAATGTATTATCTTTTTTCAATAATTCCCTCAGTGGAGCTGTTTCACTTGAGAAATTTGGTAAAAATTTGCTAACATATGTTAGCATGCCTAACAACCTTTGAACATCTGATTTGTCCTTTGGTTCAGGAATATCCTTAATTCCTTGAATTTTAGACTCACTAGGTGACACTCCCTCTTTGGAAATGATGTGTCCCATATATTCAATTTTATTTAGACCAAACTTGCATTTTGAAAGATTGAATTTTACCCCATTATCTTTAGCTATCTGTAGCACTCTTTTGAGTCTAGTGTCATGTTCAGCTCTTGAAGTACCCCATACCAGAATGTCGTCAATATACACATCAGTACCAGAGCCTGAGAATAAGCTTTTGAACCTTTCTTGGAACACCTCTGGTGCTGATTTAATGCCATATGGTAATCGTAGGAATTTATAGCGACCAAAAGGTGTTCCAAAGGTACAAAGGTCTGTACTCTCCTTGTCTAGTAAAATTTGGTAGAACCCATTGGTAGCATCTAGTTTGCTGAACATTATTGCACCTGTTAACCTACTTGTAATTTCCTCAATAGTGGGGATCTGAAAATATTCTCGTTTTATAACCTGATTGAGGTCCTTAGGATCTAAACAGATCCTTAGTTTGCCATTAGGCTTCCTGACCAGAACAAGTGCATTCACCCAGTCTGAAGGACCATTTACCTTCTCTATAACTTCAATTTTTTCTAATTCATCTAGACTTTCTTTCAAAGAACTTTGCAAGGGTAACGCCACTTTCCTGGTTGGTTGTACGACTGGTTGAGCTCCTGGCTCCAGAGTGATATGGTATGGTTTATTTTTGATACACCCTATTCCTGAAAATACATCATTAAACTCTTTTTGCAACTTTCCATATGCATCTGATTCATCATTTACAGATTCAACCTTCATTATTAAATTTAGTTGACATGAAGAACTTAAACCTAAAATACATTCAGTATCAGAGTCAACAATATAAAAGGTAACAGGGTAACATTCGCTATTCTTTTCACAAGATAATGTACATTTACCAACCACATTCAAATTTTGTCCAGTATAGGATTTTAATTTTGTATTACTTGAAATTATTTCTGAAGGAGCTATTCCTAATTTCTCAACTATTTTGAGTGGTAACACATTTGCCATTGATCCTGTATCAATCTTAAAACTTATTAATGCATTTTTAATTTTTAATTCTGTACGCCACTGCTCTACAAAAATCTGAGCTACCACATCAATTGCTCCCACGAATAGATATTGATCTTCATCAAT